CTTCGCTGGCTCAAGCTCTAGTTGCCTCCAGCTTATTGATTGGTGTGCTTCTCATACCTATAGTGATGATTTTGAGACCAGTGTTCTGTATTTTGTCCAGTTTATATAGATTTGATTTGGCTGCAGTGGAGTATGCTCCCATGCCATACTCCAATTTTGGTTTTACCTATCCTGAGTATACTTGTCATGGACTGTTGGTATCTGCACACCAGCTTGTTCCAGTAAGTTTCTTTATAAGTTTGAGCCGCAGGGTAGCTTTCCTTTGGGAGTCTTCGATGTGCGGGCTCCAGGTTAGTCTTTTATCAAATTTTACTACCAAATATGTGGGATTTTCCTCTTTTGAAAGTATTTTGCCATCTAGGTACAGATCAGCTTGTTCTAGCTTTGTGGAAAGAGAGAAGAGAGTCGAGACAGTTTTTTTTTTCTGCTTTTTTATGTGTGACTCCCCAAGAGTCTGCCTATTTCTTAACTGTATTTATAGCTTCCTGCGTTCTTGTTTTAGTTGTTCCTATATATTCAACTTGGTCCACATGGCCAGATCATCTGCATGAACCACCTTGTGAATTTTAGCCGTGAACTGTTTTTGGAGGTCATTGATAAAAATAATAAACAAGGAGGAGATATAACACCTCCCTGGGGAACACCTTCCTAAAACCTGACTAACTTGCTCTTGTGCTCTTCTAGTCTGCCTCTCTTGCAATGTTTATAAAGAAAGCCTGTAATCCATACAAACATTTGCCTTTTTATCCCACTGTGGAGTTCTGAATGAATGACCCCTTCCCTTTAAAAGATTTATCAGTAAAAAGTAAAGGACTCCTTTCCACGCCTTCAGGCTTACTGGGCATATAGGGCTAGACTTATATTTTATAGACCAGCTGGCTTCGCACCGGCCGCCTTTACTTTCTGGTACGCATTTAAGGTTGGATCGACCTGGAAGCCTAGGTCACACTGGTTCTGTCAGGACCTGAACCCACTACTTTCGGATCCACAGGCGAGCATCTAGCCCCTACACAAAGCTGCTTCTCTTTAATGATATACAGTTAATGTATATTGTCTGGTATGTTCAGTCCACACACCGGCCAGGACAGCTGTCTAGTGGGCAGCAAATGGGAAACATGACATCAAAAGAAACCCTGAGGACAGTAGAAAGGGTAATGAAATAACTAAAACTGACATGTGATGTAAAGAAACTTGGAGGACAGTAGAAAGGGTAATGAAATAATTGAAAATGACATGGGATGTAAAGAAACCTAGAGGACAGTAGAAAGGACAATGAAATAATTGAAACTGACATGGGATGTAAAGAAACCTGGAGGACAGTAGAAAGGATAATGAAATAATTGAAACTGACATGGGATGTAAAGAAACCTGGAGGACAGTAGAAAGGGTAATGAAATAATTGAAACTGACATGGGATGTAAAGAAACCTGGAGGACAGTAGAAAGGGTAATGAAATAATTGAAACTGACATGGGATGTAAAGAAACCTGGAGGACAGTAGAAAGGGTAATGAAATAATTGAAACTGACATGGGATGTAAAGAAACCTGGAGGACAGTAGAAAGGGTAATGAAATATAATTGTGATCACTCCACCTTGCTCCTCCTGTCTCTGTCTGTCTGTCTGTCTGTCTGTCTGTCTGTCTGTCTGTCTGTCTGTCTGTCGCTCTCAGGATTTGTGTTTGCTGTTGATAGTCTTTCTGTTTACTATCACAGTGTTGACTCTCCTTTATTTTACATAAAAGCAAAACTATCCTCACAGTTCTAAAATAAGGATCCTAAAATTGGTCCTTTGCATAAAAGCAACAGCATTGCCACAGTTCTAAAACCAAGAGCCATTGAATCACCTTAATTTTCACACACACAAAAATAAAGTATACACCCCAACATGTGCTGTAAAGAATGGGAAACACAGCTGGGGTTGATTATATCTCGCGAGACTTATTAAGCATGGCAGGGTCTCTTTAATAGCTAGTTTACAATCAGCACTGGCAGACAGTTGTATGACTTGCCAGACAGATGCAGTCCCACATCATTACCATCTTCTAGAAAAGTAAACTGCTCAACTTTGCCATTATTTCCTTCTGTGTTCACCCCGAAGACTGGTAGATACATTGTGTTTTGGTTGCATCTAGGCTGCAATTACTTATTTATGCCTTTCGGCCCAGCACAAATGATTTCAGCACTTCCAAGTCCTTTTGAGAAAAAAATTAAAAGGTCGACCTCTTTCAGACTGCTGCTAGCTAGCCGAGGCTGGTAACAGTCTCCGCCTATATGTGTGGTCTGGGTTATTTGCGTCACTTTCGTGACTAAATTTGAGTATTTGCCCCATTTCTGGGCTTGATGCTTCCATCCAATTCAGACCGCTCGTCCTCCACCCCGTTGTTACTTGTGCATGTCTTTCCTCTTCTTACTTGGTGTTTCCTGTTTGTTTTGTCTCCCTTTGATTTGGCCAGGTGTATTTCGTAGGAGAGTGAGCTTTTCTACATAACGTCCTTTGTACCACCATTTACAGTTTTAACATTTTGAGTATTTTATTTTGCCAAAAAGTACTGAAAACAGTTTTTGATTTTGGATAGTTCCAAAATGTGAAAATATTTTGCGTGTGACCATAGTGGTCTTATAGTTGTCTTCCTGTAATAAGAACGGGTTAGTCATGTTGTGGATATATCTGAAAATGTTGTGTGGAGCCTTAAAGCGGGTCTAGTCGTCATTTGTTAGTATGTTATCTGGTTGTGTTGGTTTGGGTTGGCAGCTAGGCTCCGGTGTATGTAAATACCATATACCCGGAGCCTCCAGCTCACGCTTTGAGATCCAAATGTTCAGCGATGGGAATTGCTGTGGCATGTTGGGTATCGAACTCAAGTGCTCTCTGTGGCAATGGTGTGGGGAGGGGGGGGGGGGTTTGAACTCATAGTGCATCCGAAAGAGGTAGGAAAGGGTGAGGGGAAAGGGGGCGGGAGGCCATTCAGACATTTCTTGTCATTGCCGTCTTACTGGATTCTAGCGTGGCCTTTAGCCAGGATTATGTGTATCACGTTACCAACCTTTGCTATCATCCCAATGATGGGGTGGTATTGGTGGTTATGTGTTCTAGTTCTGTCAGTATCTCAGCACTTCCCTGATTAGTCGCCTTTTAAGACATGCTCGTTACATGTAGTGTGCCCATTCTCCCCTTACCCCCCCCCCTCCACCCCCCATCATAAGAGGGCCCCAACTCATCTCAGGGAAATTGCAGTGTATTGTGCAGACTGTTACCTCTGGACTTTAATCTTCTTCCAGAACCGGAATGTTGTGTGTACATCCGTTTTACAAATCTGACTTACGTGCATGCAGATTGTTGGTTCCTTACCTCTCAGGCAGATGCACTCCGTCTTCGAAGGAAGGTCCCAGTTTGTGGACTCTGATGTCATGTTTTTGGGGAGGCAGTGGGTCTATTCTTGTTTTCCTCACAATGGGGTCCGGAACCCTCACAGGGATTTACAACTACCAATGATGTTACTTACCTGACTTATCAGTTCATCAGTAGATTCAGTTCTGTTGTGCAGCTGCGTCCACAGTCTAACAAGCTGAGCTAAAGAAGACACAGACTGTCTTGATAATTGGTTTCAACCTTTGGAAGGCCTGGCAAATGATGACATTGTTCGGGCATGTCTGGCTGGTCATCAGATGCAGCCTTGTGATTTAGAGGGAGCGCTTTTCACACTTCTTGTTGTGCTAGGAGTCGCCTCCACAGCAGATTGTTTAGAAAAAGACTATTCTGATGATGTTTTGCAGTCAAATTAGAGTTAGGACCATGAAAAGGATCGGGACCTCATCACGTAATTTTCCCATAACCAGCAGCTGATGCACAGCTACTGCAGCCAACCTCCATTGTGAAGGTAGCGCAACAGCTGGTCAGACAGTCACACAAACTGTGTGAGTTAGTTATTTATTTTCTATTAAAGCAGTGGTTTTCAACCTTTTTTCAGGTGGCACCCTTTGAATATACGGCAAGTACACCCACAATGCCCCTCTCTTCCAGATGTAAAATTAAATTTTTTTATTAAAAAGAGGACAGAAGAAAACATCTCAGGAACTATTAGCAAGAATTTAGAGAGAAACATTCACATAAATGAGAGTATTCTTCTTCTTCTTCTTTGTGTTCACCAGCTGTACACTCTGGCGTAAAGTTCTGGTTGCTCGTCCACTTCTGGATTGCAGTCATGCTCCAGAACCTGAGTGTTGCGTGTGCATCAGTTTTACAGATCTGATTCAATTGAATGCAGACTGCTGGTTCCTTGCCTCTCAGGCAGATGCACTCCGACTTCAAAGGAAGCTCCCCAGTTAGTCGACTCTTACGACATGCTTTTGGGGAGGCAGTGGGTCTATTCTTGATTTCCCCACAATAGGGCCCCGGAACCCACACGGGGGAAAAATGAGAGTATTGATATACACATCTTTAGCATTTTTGTTTTATATATAGTTTTAAAAAAAATTTTTTTTTTTTGTTTTGTTTATAATTCTTCTTCTTTTGTTGTCTCATTGATACCAGGTTGTAGCCCAGTGTCGTGGTTTTCTGGTTTTGCCTTGTGCTTTTTGGTGGCTTGGGTGATGGATTTGTTCATTTTTTTGTTGTTGTTGCATGTTTCGGCCACACCATTTTCCATCCCTTTCTTGGTCTTCCTCCCGCCTTCCTCCCAGATGTTCTGCTGCTCAAGAAATCTGCTTGACTCATTGGTCACCACTACTGTTAATTACAATTCTGAAAGGAATGCATTGATCAATTTTAATCAAAGAAATTTCTTTATTAGCATCTCCCTTAAAACCTTCTTCTGGGATTAAAGGAGTTAAAGAGTCTAGTTAGCTGCAAGAATGTTCAAATCAGAGACTCTTTTATGAGTTTCTTGTATTTTAGATTTTTACCAAAAAAAGTTTGTTGTAAGTTGCTTGTTTTATACTAAAAGTTAGTTGCAGAATAATTTGTTAGTTATTGATAATGGTTGTTACCTTCTTCTCTTTAGGGCATGAAAAGGTTTGATGCTCGCAAGGCAGTTCTTCAGGCACTGAAGGACAAGGGGCTGTACCGAGGTACCAAGGACAACCCTATGGTGGTACCTATGTGCAGGTAAGTTATGTGAAATATACTATGTGTTGAGCAACAACTTATGGGTGGTGCCTGAATGTATAATGAAAGTAAGTGGAATTATTTTTAGACAGAGAGGTGAGGACTCAGAGACAACTTATCATTAACATCATAAAGAGACAATGATCATGTATGTTTGGTGCGGAAAAGAGGGAAACTGTAACATGTTGTGACCATTAGAAAGATTACAAAAAAAATTTTTTTTCTTTTTTGTGGAGAGAAGAAGAAAAAGACAACAAGAGAATGTTCTTGGCAGCCTTTTGTCAGTGCATGGAGGGATGTCGGCTCATGAGCTGATGAATGCTGCTGATTGCATGTTGTGGAGAGGCATGATCGCCCATGTCAGTCAACAAAGCACTCGGCTGATTAAATGTCTCATGTGAGTGAACCTCCCTATGGTGGTGTGTAATACTCTGTTCACCAGTGTACTACTGGAGACCCTTTTAGGAAGCAAAGAATAGTAACACTGCACCCGTAATAGGTGGCTAAAGATGGGATTTTGCTTGAGGTACCCTACCCTCCCCCCCCCCCCCCCCCCCCCCCCCCACCCCCCCCCCCCTCCCCCCATCCCTGAGCAAGCAGTAGCCACACACCCCAAAAAAAAAATGAACGTCATAAACTTAATAGGACAATTAGATGCAGCCAGTCAATGTATTTTGGCCATGTAATGAGAAGAAATGTACTTGAGAACTTGGTAACAGCTGGCAAGGTTGATGGAAAGAGAGCAAGAGGCAGCCAAAGAGATAAATACCTGGATGACCTGGCCAGATGGATGGGGCAAGACAAAAACAGTGAACTGATATGTGATTATGGTGATCGTATGAGATGATGAAACATGACAGCCTGTGCTTACCGGCACGGCACATGATGCTGACGATAGTGATGATGAGCCACAAAAACTGACCAGGCATGGAAAAATCAAAAAGTAATATCAGTCAGAGCTAGAGAGAATGAAGTTAAAAAGATAGGGAGGACATGGGATGAGCTGCATGCAATAGCAAAGGATCTGACAACATGGCTAGGGTTGGTTGAGGATCTATGTTGCATAGGATAATGAGGATGATAGACAGAAAAAGAAAGAAGAAGAATGCTCTGTCTCTTTGCCAGTGAAAACCACAAAATAATTACCTGTAACTGTCCTGTGTGGAAAGTTGAAGACTAGCGTAATGGCAAGCCAGCAGCATGCACACGTATTAAATGCAAAAGGCATCTGAAAGAGTTTCCAAAATAAATAGTCCACCACTACAATTGCAGTTCATCCTTGCCTGAAGCCTGCTGTCGCAGTCAGCTTCCAGTTGCACCTGCATTTCTGCATAAGGTATACTGCCATTTCTTTGGCAACTGGGGACAGACAAAAAGCATTCTGCGTGAAATCCACAGCTGTCATTATCACATCATGCACTTAGTTCAGTGGAAAGGTTGGGGGGGGGGGGGGGGGGGGGGGGGCGAGAGAGAACAGTGTAACCTGTCACAATTAGTGTGTATGTATGTTGATTAGGCGAGTTGTGCTAGTGCAGTAGCTAGCATGCTTGCCTGGTAGTTATGTTTTCAAAACCCCACCAAGAAAGATGTGTTTTTTAAAAGTGTTAATAGAATCTTTTGTCATGGCATGGAGGGGTATCAATACAGGAACCGATGCAGTTGCAGACCGCAGATTTTGGAGAGGCATGATCGCCCACGCTAGTTGGCAAGGCACTTGATGTTGATGAATAGAGGCAGCTTGACAGGAAAAAAGCAGGAGGAAGACAGAAAAAAAAAATACCTGAATAGTTTGGTCTTGGGGCAAATTGTAACAAAACATAGACTTGATCCTAAACTGATGGTTCTGAGTGATGGCAAAAAGTTTGTGAGTGTTTTTTTAAAAAAATGGCATATCATGCTGATAAATGTGTCAAATTTATCCATCAGTTTGTCTTCCTGCCTATCTTTTCCTTCTGCCTGTCTTATATTTCTGCTTGTCTTATCTTTCTGCCTGTCTGACTGTAAGTCTTTCATGACGGCATTACCATTTGTTGGTGTCTGCTGTGAATTATACAAGACTTAAAAAAACTAAAATTAGTTTACACTTTCTCTTACACCATTTGGTTTCAATCACTCACATGTTGGCGGCGTCCGTGGCTAAGGCGTTGCGAGTCTGACTCGTAATCCAACGTACCGCGATCGAAACCCACTGCGGGCTGCGTGGATTTTTATTGTGGTATGGGATGTCGCAGGTCGACCCAGCCTCAAATGGGTACCAGGATGGGCTGTCCTGGGAAAGTAAGGACAGCCGGCGTAATGCTGACCACATTACCCACCGAGTGCTGATGGTCTGTAAAAATATGGGCGCTCTTCCCATATGCCCGATACGCCTAAAGGCGTGAAAGGGATCTTTACTTTTTTTTTTTTTACTCACATGTTGTCTCAACAGCCAAGGTTGGCTGTAATGGAACTCCAACACTAATGTCTCTATTCTTGGTTTTACACATCTCGGAATGCTGTTCATCCATCTCTTCTTGTAATCCTCCCACTTATATCGCTGTCTACCTCCCACTTACCTGCCTATTTTTTCCCTTTGGGTTTTCGTAAGAATTTTGTATCTTAAAGTATTGATACCACATGGTTTGGGGACAGGATAGCTTTTGGTTATTATATCTTTAACAGCTAAAACATGAATTTAACTAATAGCCCAGATATAATATTGCACAGTTTGCTAAATGGCATTTTTCACAGTATCTCATCTGGCTGAATTATTACAGTTTACATTATCACTTAATGAAACGAAAAATATTAATCCATTCCAACTAAATTATGTAAATCCCATTATCTCTTGTTGCTATGTACATCTCACCATGGAAGTTTAAGATTAATTACGTGGTCTTTTTGTTTACGCAACACGGTCTTCCTTAATTGCTACTACTTCATGAAAAACCAGGAATTTTTTCCCCTACAGCAATCCTGTATCCTCATAGTATATTCTCATCACTGTGCCACTGGTTTCACCTAGATTATAAATAAAGCTTCATTCTCTGATACAGTCGATCCAAGGATGTGATTGAGCCTCTGCTGAAGCCACAGTGGTATGTGAATGTCAAGGACATGTCTGCTAGATCAGTGCAGGCACTGAGAAACGGAGAACTGAGAATCATCCCAGAGATGTTCCACAAGACTTGGTACTCCTGGCTGGAGAACTCGAGGTAATCCAACTAACTACCATTATGGTGCTTGCTGCTTGGTTCAGTATTGTGTCTAGTTGTGACTATTTTTTTATTTTGTTGCAATTTTTTGGGAGTGGGTTTTTTCCCAGTTGAGTACATTTTCTACTAATTGTTTAAAAAAAAAAAAAAATTACACGAAAATTAGAACCAGTCAGCTTCACATTATCATGCACAAAACAACAGTTGAACCTTGCGGCCAGAGAGCCTTCATCAGCACATTGCATAAATCTAAAATGACAAAAATCTGAACATAAATACACAAAATGACTTAGCTGGTGTATTTTCGATAGAAATCACATTGCTGTCCGTTTAATATAATAAAAATATATTTTATCTACTTTTGTCCAATATTAAGTTAGGTCTATTGACCAAATGCTTGTTTCAAGTAGTGTATTTTGTCCTTTTATTATTTAGCTGCTCATAGCATCATTGCTGCTGTTGTGAGAAGATCAGAAAGGCTTGGGATTTAGAGGCTCCTTTCTTGTATATCAAGAGCAGTGGCTATAAAGTGTTCAAGCTGAGGCTTCTTTGACAAATCAGAAGAGTTACTTTACTTAACAAGAGATTGTTGGTATGTGTACCTTAACAGTTGTGACTTAAGTCTAACAATCCCAGCATACCAGGCTTCAGGGGATTTGATAGCAGGCCACTTTGCACTGTTGACAGTGATGTGAGTCCCCAACCATTTTGAAAGCAGTGGCAAACTACTGAATAAAAAAAATTGCCTAATAAAACCACAGTAGAGACAGTAAATGTTGAGGTTGGTTTGCACTATCCTAAAGTTGATATGCAGCTTTTTTCAAACCAGAGATTAAAAACGCAAGAGTTCAGATTTGGAGGGCACTATCTTAAGCACTTGGCATAATGTAATCCTGGCTGAATTCCTGAGATGCTGTGCCTCGTCGAGCAATCTCTGAATCTTGTTCTCTGGTGCAGCTATCTGTTTTGCTGTTGACATCTGTCGTTGCACTGATAACAGACTGTCTGGTGGTGTTACTGTCAGACATCCCTACTGACTGTCTTGTTAGCATTACTGTCAACTAACCTTTCTTGTTCCAACAGTCTTGCCACCTGTTAGAAATAGTCCGGGTTTTCTTCTTTTCTCGATGTGGGTTGAGGAATGTTAACAGCTACCTCTGATGTCTGCATTGTCTTCCCTGCTACTCTGCATGACTTGTACCTATCTCTACCTTTCTCAACATGCTTTGCAAGTCACTTACAATCACAACATGTATGTGCAGCTAATAGATAGTTGGTGAGTTAATAAAGGAGTTTACATTAAACAGTGCTGCCACAGCCATTGGTACTGGTGTAAAGTGATAGATTTCAAGTTTAGCTCGCAGTTAGTTGGCTTGTATAAAGAACAAATCACTAGGGAACCTTTGAGGTCATAGAAACTGCTTGATAAACACAGTGACAAGTATTAGTGAGCATTCGTAGATTCAAAAGAAAGAAGGACACACTAGAAAATATAAAGCTCTAATTACTATAACAGCAAATGCTGCAGGAACAAGTGTACTTAGATGTGTGACTAACCAGACACAACATGCACAGAGAGGTTAGTGGCTTCCTAAACTTTTTGGATACGAGCAGAGTTTGCAACAGGAGGACAGTGGTTTTAGTGGGGGAAAGTGGTTAGTTTAGAGTTAATGTGCTTGCATAGAGAGTGTATAGTTTAGAGTTAATGTGCTTGCATAGAGAGTGTATAGTTTAGAGTTAATGTGCTTGCATAGAGAGTGTATAGTTTAGAGTTAATGTGCTTGCATAGAGAGTGTATAGTTTAGAGTTAATGTGCTTGTGTAGAGAGTGTATAGTTTAGATTTAATGTGCTTGCATAGAGAGTGTATAGTTTAGAGTTAATGTGCTTGCATAGAGAGTGTATAGTTTAGAGTTAATGTGCTTGCATAGAGAGTGTATAGTTTAGAGTTAATGTGCTTGTGTAGAGAGTGGTTAGTTTATTTGCTTACTGAAAGTTTGCATTCTCAAAAAAGCACCCACCACCCACCTCCTCTTGCACAAGCACACTCACTCAGCCATTCATTTACTCTCACTCACTAACTGTTCATACTGCTCCTTAGTTTTGTCTTTATCCCTCTCCTTTGAAGTTTAAAAGGCTAACCATGTAATGGTAATTCCAGGATTGACTGCTGTACCAATGGAAAGAGACCAGTTTTAGGTTACAGTGTTTGTGGTAGTGTCCAGCTTCTTTCCTTATGTCCCTACTTCTCCATTAACATCTTCTGTTTCTACTAGCATCAGTGTATCCAGCTGTTACACAAAGTTCAGGTTTTTTTTTAACTAAAGGGTGGAGGAATGTTGGCTGTTGAAATATTTCCCAGTGTTTTTATCACACCTGTCCATCTTTCCCCTTTTCATTTGTAACCTTAACATTAACACAGCTGATAAACATTGTTGTTAAGGGTGTGACTTGATAGGCCTTCACATATTTACACTGCACTTTTATTAGAGTAGGTGTTCAACTCTTTTTTGTGTGTGGATTAAAAGAAAAGATTGTGTCTGTGTCTTACATGTGGGTTGTCTCCAGATCTGTTCTAGTGCAGAAACAAACCCATACAACAACAACAAAAACAATGCCTCTGCTATGTAGTGTGGATAAGTATTTATCAAGGTCTGTACATTTGTTGAGGTCTCAGGTATTTTGTAGACAAGAACAAAAAAATCTTTGAGGTCTTAAACATAGGATTTTATTGAAGAATGCTGAAAATTCAGAGCATTTTTGTGGGAGGAAAAAAAAAACACGCATTGACCCCAACAAGTATGTCATAAAAGTATACTAATCAGAGTTTTTCCCTTTATGGCTGGAGTGTATCTGCCTGAGAGGTAAGGAACCAGCAGTCTGCATACAAATAAGCCACATCTGTAACCTAGATGTGCACGCACAACCTAGGTTGTGAAACTATAATGTCCAGAAGTGCACAAACAATCAGATCTTTCTGATGGAGTTCAGAGCCAAAGAATGTGAAGAAGGAGAAGCATGATAGACCACATCAATTGTGTTCTCTTCTTTATTATTCTAATGGCTTCACAGGTTTCCTAGCTGACACCTCAGTTCCGGGTGTGGTACACAGTCTGATGGAGGTTGTGATACAGAGAAGAGTTAATGCTTTTATTTGCTGGCAAGGCATTTGCTGATGGCAATCAGGGATAACTCATATTTTTTGGAAGTTAGATGTTTTCCGATTGGAGGCTCACAGGTTATCTCAAATGGAGTAAAATAAAAAACCAGAATAAATTTGAATGTGATAATAAAGAATACATTGCTTCAAGAATCCCTTGACCCAGCAACGTAACTAAACAACTAGATAAATTGAGCCTACTAAGATAAAGGCATTATAAATCATGAAGTTAAACTGAACTTACTGAGATAAGGGAAACTAAATTGCTAGTGCAGTGCCAGCAACAAGAAAGTAAATGAGTTAGGGAGATAGCTAGATTTAGAGAGATAGCTAGATCATTAATAGAATTATATGTTAACTGTGTGCTAATGAAGCTGGTTTCTGTTAATTCTGTGAAGTTCTCTTGAGTAGAGACATGAGGTTTAAGTTAGTATGGGGGCTTTGAATGTTGATAGAATCATAGAGAAACTAGTAGACTTGGCAGAAATAGGTTGTTAGGTAATGAGACAAGATGAGGATGGAAAAGATAGAAATAATTTGTGGGAAATAAAAAATTACAATAAATTATTAACATGCAGGGTAGTCAAGAAGGAGTTTTCTTTTCTTGTTTTGGGTTTTAGCTCTGTGTTGAAACATGATACATTAAGAAGATGAAAGAAGTGAATCATCATAGATGAGGTGAGGTTTGTGGGTTGCATGGTAGAGATTGAGATAAAATTAGTGGGGAAGGGGGTTTGCAGACAGAACAGATTTTAAGTGAGGTGAGGAGGTGGGAAAACAGGGAGTTAGGTGGAAAGATAACCTAAGAGGTTCTTGTGAGACAAACATTATCTGTTGTAGACATCATGTCTGTCTGTCATGTTTTAGAGCATAAGAGCTTTAATTATAGTTAACCTGTATTGAAAAGTCTAACAACTTGGATTTCACTACTGCTAGGAACACTTTTCAAGGTTATAAATTTGTCAGTCCCAATAGATGTTACTTTGACTTGTTCTAGTGCATGAAGTTACTAGTGTAAACTAATAAGTGACTACATCCGGAAAAGTTAAAGGAAATCAATATCTGATGCAAGTGGAGTTAAAGCAACAGTTGACAGCAACAACAAAAAGTAATTTGTATTTCCTTTTCAGGACATTATAAATCAACCCAAGCATTTATTTGTTGACCATTATATGTTTTTTTTTTTAAAGGAAGTTTTAGTCTTTTGCAGATGTAATATAATTACTTAGTAAATCAATAATCCGTAATTGTGTAGTGGCTAGGCAAGGGCTATTCAACTAAGTTTAATCAGGGGCCAGTATTTGGTCACGGGCCAGATGCTCAACAAAGAAAGAGTGGTAATGCAATACAACTGGCAGGTGATCTGGGTGTGGGGGGGGGGGGGGGATTGTTAGGCCTTCGCGGGCCAGTTTTAGCTTGCAGGCCTCCAGTTGAATAGCCCTGGGCTAGGCGCTAGCATGTGTATTCAAACACTGTGGGGTTTACAAACATTGAAATTTATCATTTATGTTTGCTTCTAGGGACTGGTGCATCTCTCGGCAGCTGTGGTGGGGTCACAGAGTGCCAGCCTACTTTGTCCAGATAGCTGGACAGGAAAAAGGACAGGTTTGTAGGACTAACTACTTCAGTCTGGACACTCAGTCAAACAACGTATTCACATGTGCACATAACATGCTTGCGTACATACCTGTGCACACTCACACGCATACATGCACATACACAAACACACACACACACCACACCCCATTTACACCACACTACATACACACACCCACACACGTACATACACACACACATGCAAAAACCATAAACATACATACATATACATACTTATACATACATACATACATACATACATACATACATACATACATACATACATACATACATACATACATACATACATACATACATACATACATACATACATACATACATACATACATACATACATACATACATGCATGCATGCATGCATGCATGCATGCATGCATACTGTCGCGAGTCCCCGAGTAGGTAGATGATTTTGTGATGAGTTTATCTCTCAACACTTCACCTCCACCAGAGAGACTGGACTAATATCCAAGCTATGTTGATCTCAGACAAAGTCTTGGATATCCAAGAAAATAGCCATATTTGGCTCGTCATGTAAATACACAACAGCTGCACTTGGTACCCACAGGAGAGGGAAAGGGGTTTTAGATGTCTAGATTACTTTAAGTAATGAATGATTAGACAGGGCAGGTGACCCCACCCAACAACCTCCTCCTGGTAAAAAATTATTAAAGAGCCCCTACCAAATGTAATTGTATCTAACCGTCTAGTTAAACAGGTAAGAACAAATACACTTGGAATTTAACAAATGATTTTGTATAAAAAGCCATATATTTGATTTATTACACTAGCAATCATTTAGATAACATTTGTCATTTCTAATATATTTGATTAAACAGTGATGGTATGGTGGTAATGATGTGCTTCAGTTAGAGAACTGAGCGTCTGAAATTAGAGTGATGTTATAATGATGATGCCGTGTCCATGGCTAAGGCATTGCGAGTTTGACTCGTAATCCAACGTACTGCGATCGAAACCTGCATGGGCTGCGTGGATTTTTATCGTAGTATGGGACGTGGCAGGTCGACCCAGCCTCAAATGGGTACCAGGATGGGCTGTCCTGTGAAAGAAAAGATGGCCGGCGTAATGCTGACCACATTACCCACCGAGTGCCGATTGGTCTGTAAATATATGGGTGCTCTTCCCATATGCCCGATGCGCCTAAGGGCGTGTAAAAGGATCTTTACTTTACTTTTATAATGATGATAATAAGTTAACGAACAAAATTTGCATGTTGCTTAGTGATAATGCAAGATAAAACCTCTGACAGCCGTGAGGCACTGTCAAGCTTTTTCACCTCTTCCCAGCTTGTTCCACCTTGTTACCAGCTTGCCAATCTCCCACACAATGTAGGTTCGTGCACGTGGACACTCTCTTTCTGCTATCCGGACTGACTGGTCTTTACCCCAATGGGAGCTGGGAACATTCCATCAAATTGCCGATCAAGACTCACACAGCTAGAATGACTTAGGATCTAACTTGTTGGCCTGCTGGCAGCATAATGAAGTAGATTTAAGATGCTTAACTGTATATGTACCATAATCCATTTGCCAGGGATAGCTCCTCCCTTTTTCTAGTATCTAACCTGTCCTACAGAAGAGAATTTAAGCCACCCCCGAGGTACCTTGCAAATCCAATGATCTATCACTATGTCTGTCAGTCAATTCTTGACAGCCCCTACTTTGATCAAACATTCCTAATTGGCAAATCTAGTTTCTGCCAGTGTCACTGACAGGTGTGAAAAGCCGGGCAAGTAGAGCCATCCTGTCTATAGTTTCCTACTTGACCAGGTTAGTTCTCCTGATATGGTCTTTTCACAGGGCCCAGTCTAGCCAGTTATGTACCTTTTATGACAGGCTGGTTGGCTTTCCCCAGGTAGAGAGACTAGCTAGATTATGTAATGTTATGTAATATTAAACAAAGCTTGGTTGCTTTGTCTGGGCTAATGACTGTAAACAATTTTAAATCCCACATGGTTTAAGTACTACTTGGGCTTAATTCATAGTAAATATAATTCTTTGTCTTTTTTTGAATGGAAATAATTATTAAACATAGTAACTTATGAAAACACTGAGGTCTTTTCATCACACATACATACATAATTACATAGATACACACATTTGTACACATATGTGTACATACACACATGTACACATGCATGTACACATACACACACGCTCACAAATACGTATGTATGTACATACATACATACCATTATTCCATCCATCCATGCATACATGCTGGCAGGCCGTAATTGCAGGTTTTTGAGAGGATCAGATTAACTAATGCTATTTCTGATGGTGCTGATTGAAGTTTCATGTTACCAGTATTGTTACTGATATTCCTTGCTTTATAATCTGTGGTTTGCATTTCTCCCAGGACATTGATGGTAACTACTGGGTGTCTGGACGTACAGAGGAAGAGGCTAGGAGCAAGGCAGCTGCCAGGTTTGGAGTGGATCCCAGCAAGCTGACCCTCACACAAGGTCAGTGACCTTTTATAACATAATATTTCATGATCTAGCGCCACCCATATTCCTACAGACGGCTACTGTTTGTTGATTTCAAAACAGAAATTAAAAAACTTGGGCCTCGTGATAATATTGAGGTCATTGTTCTGTGTTGGATTATTTGTCTTCGTTTTTGTTTGTGTTGTGGAAACACACCAGATTTTTTCCTTTCTTCACATACACAGATAGTGTGATCTGGGACTTCTTATTATAGTCCATTCTGTATGGCATTGGAAGTCATCTGTCCACAACCCTCTGTTTCGGGTTCTGTTTATCACTTCTGACACAGATCATCTTCCATGCCATTATATCAAACTGTCCAGCATCTTCTCTCTGAGTCTTCCCCTGCCTCTTTTCTCCTCCAACTTTCTCACCGTCAATGTAATCTAGTTGTCTCCTTCTCCTTGTACTGAAAGAGAGTAAAATGTGTAGGTGTTATAATGGAAAAAACAGGAATAAGACAGATGTTACATAGCCACTGTGGTATAATGGTTAGTTAGCATGCCTGCCAAGAAAATGGTCTGGGTTCTATTCCCGCCAGATTTTTTCCTTTGACTAATGCATCTCTAAGTTCAACCCTGCTTCACAAAAATGAATACCAGGCAGTTTTGAGAATTGACTTGATTTTTCTGGTGTCTTTTTGTTGCACTTGCTTGAAGTTTATCATTGACACCTCAGTCATTTCTCAGAACAGTCATTCCACTAAATCGAGGAGCATCCAAGAAGTCTTAATCCTCAGCTTTCAGTTTTTTTTTTCCTTCTGGAATTTAATCTGGGTGTTAAAATGTGACATAGAACCTGTTCTGCTGTATGGCAGCAAATCTTGGAATGTCACTGAATAAATTAAGAAGAATTTGGAAGCAACAGAGATGTGGTTTCTGAGATGAATGTTATAAATACCTTGGACGGCCAGAGTAACTAACAACGACTGCTTGAAAAAAGCTAATGAAAGTAGATTTCTATATACAACAATAAGAAGGAGACAAACACTGTTCTTTGATCTCATAATGAGAAGAGAGACATTGGAGAACATCGTGACAACCGGAAAGATCAGTGGAAAAAGGGGTAGAGGCAGACCAAGAGAGATGATGCTCTATGGGCTGAAACGATGTCATGGAGGGATATCATCAGGAGAGCTGTTCCAGGCAACCAGGGATCGTGATTTATGGAGATGCATGTGCGCCTACGCCAGTTGGCAAGGCACATAATGATGATGATGAATTTAATCTTGAGGGTTTGTGGTATTGTTTGGTTTTGAGCTTTGTCCGTTTTTGTCTACTTAAAAATCTTTACTGATAATTAACTGTCGTTAATTTCCCTTTTTTTTTCCTGAACAGATGAAGATGTTTTAGATACATGGTTCTCATCCGGGCTTTTCCCATTCTCCGTGATGGGGTGGCCAGATCAGGTATGTATGTGTTAGCCAGTTTAATATGTGAAAAGACATTGCAGCCTTTTATTATAAATATATTTTTATTTTTAAGGGTGGCTTAATTTTTTGGTTAAATATTTGTAAGGTAATGTAGGAACTCTAGTTTTTAAATATTTTTTTTTCAAGCGTGGTTTTAGCTTCTGATATTTTTATGGTAGTGTATGAATTAAAGTCTGTCAGTATTGATGGATTTTATTTGGTTTTAGTTTTTGATAATATAAATTAATTTATAGAGAATTTGTTAATTTTAATTGGAGTGTGTACTGAACATTTTTTTTTTAATGTGCACATGTATATTAAACTAAACATAACGTTGGTGCCGTTTTCATATGTCACAAAATCTCTGATCATTAATAAAAATGCTAGATATGATTATAACAGATTGTCTGAAAGAAATTTTAAAGAGGACAAGAAGAAATAGTTTAAAAGTTTAAAGTCGGGAGGATCGACTTCATTGCACCGGTCTTTATCCTATATAGCTCAGTCTCTCTTCGCACAATGGCTAGCTGCCTACCGAGAGCGTCACACAAATCACAAGCTCCAGAGCTCCAATGATGATTCCCCGAGATATTTCTACAAATTGCATGCCACAGCTGTGAAATGAACCCATGACCTTCAGAGTGAAGAAGTATTTATAGAGAATCTAAACAAATGTTTATTATACATTATTTTGTTTATGAAGCTAAAATATAATAAATTGTTTCATGTTGATGATGATGTCCTCAGACCGAAGACCTGAAGCTGTACTACCCGGGTCACCTTCTGGAGACTGGACACGACATCTTGTTTTTCTGGGTGGCCAGAATGGTGATGCTGGGACTGACTCTGCTGGACAAGCTGCCCTTTAGAGATGTCAGTACAGATTTGTTACCAACCGTCTTAGTCTTATCGGCTTTCCATAATACTAGTGATTGCACTTTGTACACATTATTGAAACTGCACACTTGTTGGTGCTAATTATTTGATGCTCTCACTTGTAACAGACCTGATGGTCCAGACACTTTTGACAGAAGATCGGTCCTTGTACTTGTTACAGATCTGACTGTCCAAGTACTTTTGACAGAAGATTGAGCATTATACTTGTTACAGATCTGATTGTCCAAGTACTTTTGACAGAAGATTGAGCATTATACTTGTTACAGATCTGATTGTCCAAGTACTTTTGACAGAAGATTGGTCTTTGTGCTTGTTACAGATCTTATTATCCAAACACTTTTGACAGAAGATTGAGCATTATACTTGTTACAGATCTTATTATCCAAACACTTTTGACAGAAGATTGAGCATTATTCTTCTTACAAATCTGATTGTCAAGTACTTTTGACAGAAGATTGAGCATTATACTTGTTTCAGATCTGATTGTCCAAGTACTTTTGACAGAAGATTGGTCCTTGTACTTGTTACAGATCTTATTATCCAAACACTTTTGACAGAAGATTGGTCCTTGTACTTGTTACAGATCTTATTATCCAAACACTTTTGACAGAAGATTGAGCATTATACTTGTTACAGATCTTATTATCCAAACACTTTTGACAGAAGATTGAGCATTATACTTGTTACAGATCTGATTGTCCAAGTACTTTTGACAGAAGATTGAGCATTATACTTGTTACAGATCTGATTGTCCAAGTACTTTTGACAGAAGATTGAGCATTATACTTGTTACAGATCTTATTGTCCAAGTACTTTTGACAGAAGATTGAGCATTATACTTGTTACAGATCTGATTGTCAAAGTACTTTTGACTGAAGATTGAGCATTATACTTCTTATAGATCTGACTGTTCAAACACTTTTGACAGAAGATTGGCCGTTATACTTGTTCTGGTTATCCAAACACTTTTCACAGAAGATTGGTCCTTACACTTCTTATAGATCTGACTGTCCAAACACTTTTAACAGAAGATTGGCCGTTATACTTGTTCTGGTTATCCAAACACTTTTTACAGAAGATTCGTCCTTACTGTTGTTATAGATCCGATTATCCAAAAACTTTTGACAGACAGTTAATCCTTACATTTGTTATAGATTTTATTATCCAGAACATATTTATGCACAGACATTAAGTATTATTTGTTGCCCACACTTGACAAACATTATTTGGTACACATTGAAACTGTTGTTCAACTGAGCACATACATGTTGCATATTGTATTCCTTACAGATTTGTTGTTAATATTTAAAGCAAACATTTCTTACAGATCATTAATTGAAAGATATCAAACTAACAAAAAGTAGAATCAGGCACCTTCACATTATTCCAGACAAAAATGACAAGTAAACATTTCAGCCAAAGAGTCTTTATTAGCACAGTACACACATCAACAGTATAAAAAAAAAACGTTAATTGCCTATCCTTTACAGAATGTTGCAGAACCAACCCCAGCATTTGTTGTGTGTGGCTATTGTGGTTGTTCTGGGCAAAGTTTACATTCAGTATAAAATCAACAGTACCACAGGAGTAAACAAGATTACACAAAATCACTTAACTGACATATTTCTGATGGGAATCACATCTCTGTCTGGCTGGTAGAATATCTGACACTTGGTAATGAATAATTTAGGCCAAGAATCTTCTTGTCAGCATTCACTGGCTGCAAAATCTGGCAAAGTGTTCTGGCTGTTTATTCACTTCTGGACTTTGTTTTGTTCCAGAACTTCAGTTTTGCATGCACATCCAATCGTACAGGTCTGGTTTATTTGTATACAGAATGTTGGATCCTCACCTTTTAGATTCAGTCCGACTTTGAAGAAAACACCCTAACTGGTCAGCTTTTACAACATGATCGTTAGAGGGGCATTAGGTCTATAACCCACCCCCTCCCCCACCCATAGGGCTGTGGAACCCACACACACACACAAAACCAGGGATGATCTTTCTCTCAGCCTGCTTCCCCCCCCCCCCCCCCCCCCCAACTACTGAGAGAAAGGTAACATCAGTATTACACTGATTTCTGAACACGTTTGTTTATGGTGACATGCTGTAATGACATCAGATGAGAAGCTTATAACCCACTTGTCCTTCCCTCAGGTATACCTACATGCTATGGTGCGGGATTCTCATGGTCGCAAGATGAGCAAATCACTTGGCAACATCATTGACCCACTGGATGTAATTCGTGGCATTGAGCTGGAGGTAAGTGAGAGAAAACTAACGTATGTAAGTGAGAGTAAACTAATGTATGTAAGTGAGAGAAAACTAATGTAGGTAAGTGAGAGAAAACTAATGTATGTGAGTGGATGCTTTTCTCACGTGTAATGTGCCAGTTATCATCATCATCACCATCATCACTATGTTCGGCTGAAATACATATGTTAGGAATCCTGATGTCTGCTTTCTCACCAAGCTGTAAGAGTGTTGTGAGAAACAGTTTTGTAAGCTACTAACAGTTTCTCATTCGGGTACAAACTCTGATATCTTCAGTAGTGGTTTTGTTAATCAGTTCTCTATGGTACAATACATGGTAGCAGTGAGTTTTATGTCTGAGACTGTAAATCAAATGGTCACCATAAATTAAATGGTTTAGCCATCTGGTAAGAATCAAACAAAATCAACCACCAACTACAGCGTACTACATGAGAACAGCAGGCTTCAAGGCAATAGGTCAACCAAGAAAGAGATGGGTTGAGGGAGTAAAAGCCTCACTTCAGAAATGCAATATGACATTAACACAGGCTATGCAACTAGCTTAAGTTAGGAAACTATATCTAACTGCTTTCTGAAACACTGTACGGCATAAGCAGTAGGATAAAAGAAGAAGAAAATATAGACAGGTAATGTTATGACCTAGTATAGGAGAACATCCTGACAACTGGAAAGATCAGTGCAAAAAGGCGTAGAGGCAGACCAAGAGAGATGATGCTGGATGGGCTGAAATGATGTCATAGAGGGATATCATCAAGAGAGCTGTTCCAATCAACCAGGGATCGTGATCAGTGGAGACACATGATGATGATGAGGATGATATATGAAAACCTATCAATCAAAACATAAGTAATAATTGTTAAACAACTCCTGAAACCATTGATCTGCTTATTTCCTTACTTTCTGATCAATTCATTGTCTGGCTAGCCCTGTGTCAAAAAAGTACACTTATTCCTTAAGCATGGCTGTGCTGATTTAAAGGTGACTGTTCAAATCCTGGTGTATCTATGGCTAATATCAGTAGTTTATTTCTTATATTTTCACTTGAAACATTACCATTATATCAAAGATATGTCTTGACATGATTACCGTTTTTCTTTGCTTTGCCTAAAAAGAAGCCTCTTTATTCTTCATCTGCCTTCTTCTCTAATACATTCCTGTTTCGAGGGAATTTTGTAGACTCAAGTGACCAGCTTTGTACCACATTGTAGCTTTTGTTCTTTGTGGCCAGAGTCAAATATATTTCACACCTAATGGGTCAGAATGGTTTTTAATTAGTGACACATCCCCCCCTTTCCACCCATCATTCTGTGTACACTGAGACGTGGTCAATGTGTGTTTATTTCTTGCTTTCAGGACCTACAGAAGAAACTGTATGAGTACAACCTGGATGACAAAGAGATTGAAATTGCCAAGAAAGGGCAGGTAATATTTTGAAATCCAATTTGCTGTTTACATGTGCTGTTTAAATTTACTTTTGTTTCACATCTGTATAACAATGACCCCCTTTCACTGTAGAAGCAATGTCTTTTCAGAATTGTGATGACTTGAATGTCAGGGTGTTAGAAATATGCCTTTAAACTTGTTTAGACTTCTATGCATTTCACATTCACAATATGAACAGTTTCATCTGATCATTGTTATTTAACTTCCCTTCACCATGTTTACTTTTTGCTTAGCTTCCCTGCCACTCTGGGTCACCTCCTGTCCATTGTCTGTGATGACTTATGAGGGTTTGCTGAAAAAAATCTTTGTTTTTCAAGTAGGGCCATTATAGCTGTATAATTGTTTACACTGACTGTAAACCCTCCCATGAAAGCCCATGCCCATTTTTGGCTGAGCAAATCTTGTACTCCATAATGATGATGTATACCATAGAACAAAGACTGTTTGCCAGCACTTAACTGTGCTTTGTCTTATTTTATTTCACTTCATTTGTTTTAAGTTGTTAATCACCATCATCATGAAGTGCTTGCCGGCTGGTGTGGGCAGTCATGCCTCTCCACATTCTACATACAATCAGCGACTGCCTATATCAGTTCATGTGTTGACACTCCTCCATGCCAAGACAAAAGGCTGTCTAGAATCTTCTCACTTTGCTTTCCACATATTTTTCCAGTAGTCGCAACTTATTCCAGTTTCCCTCATCTCATAACATGCTCAAAAAAGACGACTGTCTCTTTTTGATGTTAGTAATAAATTGTCTTGTATTCTTCTGTAAAACAACATCTCCGAGGCTTAAAAAAAATTTCTGGCTTATTTATTGATTGTCCTGGATTCACAGTCGTATGTTGAAACTGGCTCTATATAGCCTGCGAGAATTCTTTTCCTAACTTGCAATGACATGGATTTATTGCACAGAATGTTCTTCATTTGGTAAAATGCAGCCTTATTCTGTTGATTAAGTCTGTGATATGTCCTCCATCGGATGTTATCCATACGCATAGATACCTAAAGTTATGTGCTTGTCCTAAAATAATGCCTTTGGCTTTTATTTTACTATTGTGCACTGTTAATTTCTTTGACATTACCATTACTTCTCTATTCCCATTGTTCAAGCTTAGGCCTATTTTATCACTTTCTTGTAAATACTTCTAACCGAGACTGCAGTCAAGAGAGGCATCTCTTTGCTGGCAGGTCTAATAATGTAAAGTTTTGAAAAACCTAATTTTCATGAATTCAGAGGGACCGAAAAGTCTTGAGTTTATGTTAAACAAATGTGTGCTGAGGACTAATAATAATTACATCCCTCCTGGAACCAAAATTGTGTTCATGTTAACTGAGTGTTCTTCTTAAAGCAGGTTTACTGTATTTGTAGACCTAATATTGTAGTTTATCTCTAAGCAAGATTCTCTAAAACCTTTCATTATGTCTTGCAGAAAGCTGATTATCCAAATGGGATACCAGAATGTGGAGTAGATGCTCTCCGGTTTGCTCTAGTTTCCTACACAGCTCAAGGTATGTTACTTGTCTAGTATTCAGGAGGTCTCTGTGGCAAAGGGGCCAAGGCATTTGCTTCACGCTCAGAAAGTTGTGGGTTCATTTTACTGCTGCGTCCTTCAGTTCACGGTTGCAATTTCTATGGAGTTCACTGGGTATCATCGTCAGAGCTACAGAGTTCGTGCTTTGTGAGATGCCCCGGAAGGCGGCTAGCCATTCTGTGGAGAAAGACTAAGCCATATGGGATAAAACCTGATGCAGTGAAGTCGATCCACTTGACTTTAACTGCAGTTTATTTTTGCTTCCTACATAGCTCAAGGTGTGCCACTATGGAAATAATTTATTTTATGAGCATTCCCATATCATGAATTAACATGTAAATTAGCTGATGTTGATTTCATTGCTTGTATACTGATATTGGTATATAACAAATCTAATTCTATTTGACCCTTGATCTTAGTTATCTGCAAACACTTCAATAACAGTTCATAAAAGCATACTTGACCCAGTCACAGATATGGACAGCAAAATCAGTTATTGATGGCATAAGTTCGGCTCAGCAGGTTAATGTAGCCCTGAGATGTTGAAAGGATAGAACATGTCTAAATTTTCTAGTTTTGATGGTAGATAGCTTTTACTATTACAAGATGGTCCTAGAAAAGCTAAACAAAACATAAGATACTAAATCACAAGATAGAAAGAATGAAAAGCTAAACAAGAGTGAAGAAAGTTTCCAGGGTGGGGGCATACACAATAGGAGCCCACCGATGATCAGTAGAGGTCCCCCATCACAAAATGTTTAGGTCGCTTATCCACTAAACACTTTCTAGGGGTGAGTCAACCCAGATCATGATTCTCTGGACTTTCCAGGTCACAGGATAAAAGGAATGGAAAGCTACACAGGTATTCACATCACATGAAAAAAAAGAAAAGACAATTTTGATGCTTTGGCTGGAAAAATGCAAACTCCTTAAATTATAATGTGAGTTATTTTCCCTGCCAGGTCGAGATATAAACCTGGATGTCCTGCGGGTACAGGGCTACAGGTTTTTCTGCAACAAACTCTGGAATGCCACCAAGTTTTCTCTGGCTGCCCTCGGGGACAGCTTCCGCCCATACCCAACATTACAGGTGAGAGGTGTATGTCTAGGCAAGGAAGGTTTGAGTGGGTTGATGACCAAGTCGGTATTATGTGAATGAGCTTCCTGTGTGGGTTCTGGGTCACCAATGTGGGGTGGGGGGGGGGGGGGGGGGGGGGGGGTGAGAAAGAATAGACCCACTACCTCCCTAACAAGCTTGTCATTAAAGTCAACTAATAGTAGTGTTTTGTTCATAGTATGGATCTGCCTGAGAGGCAAGGACCCAGGTCTGCATACAAATAAGCCAGATCTGTAAAATGAATGTGCATGCAAAACTTAGATTCTGGAACAAGATTAAAGTCCAAAAGTGGAGGAACAAGCAGAACTTGTTCATAGTATGGATATGCCTGAGAGGCAAGGACCCAGGTCTGCATACAAATAAGCCAGATCTGTAAAATGAATGTGCATGCAAAACTTAGATTCTGGAACAAGATTAAAGTCCAAAAGTGGAGGAACAAGCAGAACTTTGTGTTGGAGTTTACAGTTGGTGTGCCCGAAGAAGAAGAAAAATGAGTGAGCAGCCAAGCAAGTGATGAGTGGCAAGTGGATCAGTGACTAACATGAGTTGATAAGAAATTTGCTAATAAACATAAGTTAGGAAATGTATAAAAAGTTATTTGTGGGCGAGTGGGTATATTATAACGAGTTACTATATTGAATATCTTATCTCTGTATAGTCCTAGAAGTATGTGCCCCATACAGAGGACTATGTATATGTTAGTGTTTGTTGTAGTTTTTTTTTATGTGGTTGTGTGGTTTTTCTTTAAAATGTGAAGCCTGAAATTCTAACATCAACAGGTAACAGGCAAGGAAAGTCTCATGGATCAGTGGATTCTGAGTCGACTGTCCCAAGCCATCAGATTGTGTAATCAAGGAATTGAGGCCTTTGACTTTCCCATATGTACCACAGCCATCTATAACTTCTGGCTGTATGAACTCTGTGACTGGTACCTGGTGAGTTTCTGTTGGCTTTGTGTTCCCTGGGTTGTGTCAGTCTACATAATACTTAACTTTACACATGCAATTTTTTTTCTTCTCCAAAATGCCAGCACAAGGTTGTTCCTGTTTGTCGATTTTGTCTATTCTCACTTTTTTTTTCTTCAGGTTTAGAAGCATAAAGAGCCATGGAAGTACAGTGGCTAGCGCTCTTGCCGACTTACCTGATAATCTTGAGGTCATATTTCCACAAAGACAAATTTGTAGACTCCCCAGTCAACTCAGTCTAAATTGGGTTCAAGAAATTGGTGTGATATTGACCACATCATACACTGAGTACTGATAGGGCTATAAAAATACAGCACTTTTACCTTATGCCTGTGAATGAATGAATCAAGATTTGATATCACTGCACTCTTGACATTCCCATAGGTGCTGTCTCCTTCCCGTCAACAAACCGTTCCCATACTGATGGTACAAGCTGCAACCTGATTAAATGTTTGAATGTCTTTTCATCCAGACCCTCTGATCTCTCCCAGGTGTATCATTTTCTCCAGATATGAATGCTGTCTGTTCTGCTGCACTATTTACTTGATCCTAGAGAACCCTCACCTTGTCTGTGTGCCTACAGGTGTGAGAGCCCTCACCTTGTCTGTGTGCCTACAGGTGTGAGAGCCCTCACCTTGTCTGTGTGCCTACAGGTGTGAGAGCCCTCACCTTGTCTGTGTGCCTACAGGTGTGAGAGCCCTCACCTTGTCTGTGTGCCTACAGGTGTGAGAGCCCTCACCTTGTCTGTGTGCCTACAGGTGTGAGAGCCCTCACCTTGTCTGTGTGCCTACAGGTGTGAGAGCCCTCACCTTGTCTGTGTGCCTACAGGTGTGAGAGCCCTCACCTTGTCTGTGTGCCTACAGGTGTGAGAGCCCTCACCTTGTCTGTGTGCCTACAGGTGTGAGAGCCCTCACCTTGTCTGTGTGCCTACAGGTGTGAGAGCCCTCACCTTGTCTGTGTGCCTACAGGTGTGAGAGCCCTCACCTTGTCTGTGTGCCTACAGGTGTGAGAGCCCTCACCTTGTCTGTGTGCCTACAGGTGTGAGAGCCCTCACCTTGTCTGTGTGCCTACAGGTGTGAGAGCCCTCACCTTGTCTGTGTGCCTACAGGTGTGGAAATGAGACCTTTTCTTTAACTGTTTGCTGAGCAGGACTAGCTGAAATAAAATAAAAAATAAGCTAGTTTCCAGGATGCAGGCAATAATAACAGCCAGATCTCAGGCATGTTAAAAGATGACAAAGATATTTTGACATACTTCGCTTCCAAATATGGGTACCAGACCACGTTTTGGGTGAAGAAAGAAAAAACCCATTGTCTTCTAACAAGCATTTCATATGAGGCGACAAAGTAGGAGTTGGTTGAAATGTTGCTCCGAAAGATGCTATCGCAGCCTAGCTGTAAACCATAACACAGCATTGCAACCACCATTTTAAGGATAAAGGCAGAAGAATGAATGAATGAGTCAAGAATGGACATCACTGCACTAGGGACATTCCCACACATGTTATATCCTTTCTTTAGTAGCTAACAGAGAGTTGACATGCTAATGGCAAGCTGCTGCAACCTGAATCAAATGCAAAAGAAGAAGGTATTTGTAGTTTGTTTATTTGAACATATACTGGTCTTGAGAGAAGTCTTAATACTGTCATATATTACTGTCTTATAGTACTCTTACATAGTACTGTCATATATCTCCAGGAATATCTTAAACCAGTGCTGAACGGTTCTAATGAAGAAGCCAAAGTCATCAGTCAGAATATCTTGTTCACATGTCTAGATGAGGGTCTGAAATTACTGCATCCCATGATGCCTTTTGTCACAGAAGAGCTGTTCCAGAGGTTACCCCGAAGGTCAGAGAAAGCTCCACCAAGTATCTGTGTCACCCCATACCCTGAGGAGAACAAGGTTAGTGGCAAACAAAACAGCTGGTTTTTTTTTTAAGGTTTGTTTTTGTTGTTGAAGTGAGTCGACAGACACGACATGACCAAGAGACTTGCAAAGTGCTTTGCATGTCATGATGGTGTGGTGGGAACAGACAGGGTCATGGGTAAACCTAGAGAAGGCCAGTGTTTTGCGGTGCTCTTTGAATTACAGCATTGGGAAGGAAGACTTGCCCAACATATCCATGAAGGGCATGAATGTTGAAAGAAGAGATACGTTGAAATACTTAGGTCTAACGTTTGATCACAGTCTGTCCTTCAGATATCACGCGGAGCAGACTGTGATCAAATGCAAGCTTGGCCTGGCTGCACTGAATACGATGGTTGGGACACATTTGGAACAGAGATTATTGGCCTTATTGTTCAACCATTTGGTCCTTTCTATAATTGATTATGGCCTAGGAATATTAACCCTATCTACTTCACAGTGTGCAAAGTTTGAAAGGATTCAAAATGAAGGAATGAGAATCGTCTTGAGTTGCACACGGGACACTCCAATTAAAACATTGAGGTAATATGGGCTGACATTGGTAGTCTAGACTGTCACTGGCGCTAGCCAAGTCCTATGTGCCAGTTACTAATGACGAAAGGCATCTGCTGCATGGCAATTTGAACGATTCAAGAAAGGACCAGTTGAAAAGAGGAACGTCATGGATAGCACTGGCTGAAGATACCGCCGAGATGGTGGCCTAGGTCGATCAAATACTGCAGGGGGTGGAATGGATCGACACGAACACCCACAACAACAGTTTCCATCAGGTCATTACCACGTTAGGAAGAGAAGGTAGAGAGTGGTGTAATGGCATGGCAGAATTAGAGGTGCAACAACTAATAGAGGGAAAGGCTGGATTAGATGATGCAGTTGTGTACACCGTAGTCCTGTTCATCTGGCTGGGGATTCTTGGCTAGAATGAAGGGAATTATTTTGGCAGAACAAATCAGAGCTTTTTTATCTACAACTTCAAGCATGAGAATGGAGGTGGAGGCAATCACTGCAGCTCTGAAATTGATAGCAGAAAACAAAGTTACCAGAGGAATTATTGTGTCTGATTCTCAGTCGGCATTGCGGAAGGTTCAAAATGGACTAATGTGGCATGAGTGGATACCATGCATCAGTATGCCAGCATTGCAGGAAATCATGTAGATATATTGTCAGGGATATGCAGGAGTGCGAGGGAACGAGAGAGCAGATTTTCTGGCTACAAAAGTGAAAGCTACAGGAACACTCGCAATGGACAATGGAGATATTCTGAAGACCATATATAAATGACTTTTGGCAGAAGACACGAGATTAGATGAAATAACATGGGCAAGAATGTTTGAACGAGGAATTAAGTGTGGATCCGGCAAGGAGGGACAGATGAGTGGAAGAGACCGGTGTGTGTATAAACAATGTGTTACGGGAACAGTTAGCATCTACACCTTACGTCATTTGCTGCGGGAAACGGATCATCTATGGGTATGCCCGGTGCGGTATGATGTCGATTCTTAAATCAGTAATCAGTTGTTGTTGTTGTAGGTTTTACAGCAGCAATTTTTTTCTTGGTGTTTACAAAAAAAATGTATTGGTGGTTTTACAATAGAAGTACATTTCAGCATTTCATGGCTAGTTTGTGTAGGGACTTTAGAGCACATTCTTTTAATATTTTACAGTTGCAGTGTATTTTATAAGTTCATTGCTGGTTTGTATAATTTTTAAACAGCACATTCATTCTAAGTTTTACTGCTTGTATAAAAACCATCTGGGAAGGGGAAATTGAGGGCAGGTGAGCAAGAGGTAGTATGTGAAATAATAACATGAAAAGATGGACCAGCAGCAGTCTGTCAGATTGTATTAGCTGTAAGTGATGGAGATACATTGCAGCCAGCCTTCATTATTGGGTCAGCAGGTGACTGATTTGCACTTATGGCTGCTGCCTCATGCATTAATGCCTGTGTATGCTGTTGGATTTGCTAGGACTGCAGTCTGTGACATTTTTTAATCACAAGGGACAATTACGGACATTCTGTGCGGTTTTCATTGGCACATGAATTAAGAAACTATGGGGTGACTTGTTTTCTATGAAGTTGGAACTGTGATTGCCTAATTAATTAAGCTTACAGTAATCATAGAGCATTTAACCTTGAAGTGTCATATGCAGTTGATATCATTGTGTGTTTGCATGCATGTGTGAGTAATATATCCTTTCAATTCAATATTGATAGCTGTATTTATGCAGTATTTAATATGCATGTGGTCAGAAATTTAATCCCATTATTTAAAAAAAAAAAAAAAAAAAAAACTGGTCTCCTTGTGTGACCCAGCCTAAAACAATCAATATTTAAAACATTCCAGGGAAGTAAAGGCATTTGTGCATGATATTCTACATATTACCCATTAAGTACTAGTTGGCCTATTCATTTACCCTTTCACCCCTTAAAGGTTTAAAAAAAAAAACAGTTTCAAAATAGTATTCAAAAGAAATGCCTCATTGTAATTATCTGAAACTCTGCCCGAAGACACTAGAGGAAGGGAAGAAAAAGCAGAAGAAATGTGGAGTCTTGGTCAGTTAATATAAAAAAATGCTGTGACCCCTGAGCAGACATGCAAGACTGCTAGTTATTGCTTCATTGTGGCCCCTCTCCACATCCCCCTAATACTAAAAAGTTGTATTTAAAAAAATTGGGGGGGGGGGGGGGCAAAGGTGATTCTTGATTAAAATGCAACTAGAATCATAGCCCCCACCTCTACACACATCAGCTGCAACCAGTACCAAAGCTGTTATGGGCATATTGGCCACTGCCGAAAGACATGTCATTGAAAACCTGTAGAAGCTGGAAAACCAGCTTTCTTATGGCAAAAGGATAAACTGTAGAGCTAGCCCCATCTGTCCCCCCCCCCCCCCGGCCACACACCCACACAAAAAAAGGTGGGGGGGGGGCTGTACATAGGAATGGGTCCATGTTGTGTTGTTAATCAGATGTTTGTGTGACCAGTCTGCTGGATTGTTGTTTCAGGCCATCCCACACAACCCTTCCCTGGAGGCAGATGTTGAGTTTGTACAGAATGTTGTGAAGAACATCAGATCTGTCCGGGCAGACTACATGTTGTTGCCGAAAACTCAAATTGAAGGTGGGTTACATGTAGGGGAAGAGGTTTTTGTGGGTCTCTAGGCAGGTTAGTAAGGATTAAGGGACCGAGTTACATTTGGCATGTTAGGGTTGTTATGTGCAATCTCATTGTGATGCGTTTTTTCCACAGCGGATGCTGCCTTTTGGTGGGGGAGGGGGGGGGGGGTTTCAAGTGTTAGGTTTGCACATGTTCTAGATCAGTGGTGTTTAATCTTTTTCATGTGCTACCCCCTCCTTTTCCACACACACACACACACAAACCACACTGTTAATCGGAGAACATGTAGAAAAACATCCACATGAGGTTTTTGAACAATGGATCAACATCATGGCACACGGGTAGTAAGTGCTCCGTTCTTTTTCTAACTCAAGTCTGAGTCAGAAGAAGCTCAGCACAGACTCTGTAGCACCGGCGAGGATCCTGAAATACTTTAGGTAGATTTTTAACTCTAAATTTTGCCCGAGCAGCTACTATTTTTGATTTCCAACTGCCAGGGAATTTTTTACATGCGCACCAATGCACACTGGCATTCGATTTCACTACCCAGCGACCAGGGAAAATTACTAGAAGTCAAAGTCCACGTGAAAAAATCCTAGTCCTTACCGGGGATTCAACCCAGAATCTCTAGCACTCGAGGTGGACATCATGCCTCGAGGGGGACACCATGCCTCGAGACCATGCAGCCCCCCATAAAAGAAACAATCATTAACAACTGGTAATTTGCTGTCAGAATATCAGTCTGATGGCTGACATTGTTTTGTCTTGATATTTGCTGTTTTTAATCTGTTATTGGACAAAGCACAGAGGTCTACTGAAAAAAGAAAGTTAATATAAGAGATTATTCTGTTTTTCTTCTTCTTCACTTCCTCTTTTACTGCATCAGATGTTGAGGGAGATACAATGTTTGGCTTCTTACTTTTGGGCTGCCTCAACCTAGTGTACAATTTCCCACATGTACATCAGCTTGTTTCCACCTAGTGTACACTTTCTCCCATGCACCTCAGGCTCATCCACTCAGTGTAGATTTCACCCATGTCATTTAACCTTATATTCACTCACTATACTATTCCTGACATTATTCAGCCTCATGTCCACTCAGTATATGCTTTCTCATGTTAAACAGTCTATTGTTTACCTAATACAAACTTCTCCACATGTTATGCTCTCTTTTATCCACCTAAAATAAACTTGTCCACCTGTTTTTCAGTCTTTTATCCACCCCTTATTAACTTCCTCATATGTACTGCAGCCTCGGTTCCTCCCAATGCAAATTATTTAAATTTATAATAATGAACATTATAGACAAGCAGATGACTCACCAGCTTCCAACCAAGACTTGTTATTACTTAACATACTAACTTCAAGTCTTTACAAGCTAAACAAGTCTATTTATAAATTTGACAATTGTTATCCTTCATAAATGTCAGTCTACCTGAAGTGTGCTGACAACGAGACAGCCAATGTTCTGACCCAGTTTGAGAATGTCATCTCCACCATGGGCAACACAAGTTCCATCTCTGTCCTTGTCAACACCGACCCTCCACAAGGCTGTGCCATGTCAACTGTCTCTGCCAAGTGTGAGACACACATCATGCTGAAGGTATGTTAGTGCAGTATTGTTTTGTAGCTATTTTGTCCCATCCAGTTTTTCAAATGTTAACTCTCTGGCAGTTACTGCTTTAGTGTTGTGTGCAGTTGTGCTTTCAGTTTGCCAGATCAGAGTTTTATGAAATCATATGACCAGCTCACTTGTGACTATTTTAATTGCCAGAAAAGTGTCAGGTACTTATTTTGAGTTCCTTATTTCCTCCCAACTGTACTGTCTTCTTCGCTGTCCCTGTCGAGCAGCTATGGTTGTCTTAATACTGAAGAGTTTAGATGATGCAGACCTGAGAGCAACGCTGCTTGGACTGGGTCAGAACATCCAAATGCATTGGATCCCAATTCATTGCAACATACCTGGAGATAAAGAGGCTGATAAATTACCAAAGTAAGACGGAAGACTACTTCAGCTCATTTAAACCCCCCCCCCTTCCTTTTCCTTCCAAAATATATACAGATTTGAGAAGGTAGTGACAATAAACATAAACAGGGTGAAGCATTACCGCATTAAATGGAATACAGGTCGTGACCCTGTGAACTCTATTACTGAGGCTTTAAAAAAATTTGATGTTTCCTGGACTTTTTAAAAACAATGTTATTTGGCTCAAAGGAAAATTCCTCTTAATGCTGTTTTTAGTTAATGTATTAATGTCCTGACCTCCTAAATGTTTGTGCAGGTGCAAAAACAGCCAATAGCATATGTTCTATAAACAACTCGGAAAATTGACATTTATGGGGAAGTGACAGTTTTTCAGCTTCTCGGGGCGAAACGGTTAATAAGCTAAAGAATATTGATGAATGTAACTGCAGTATTGGTAAAATGATGAGTAAGCTTTTGCTGCAAGTGCATCCATTATAAGCAGAACAGAAAATTATTTTGCTTTTCACCTGCTCCATTTTAGAATAAACAGTAAGGAGCCCTCGGCAATCTCATCTTGACTTGCTTTCTTTAAATATATTCATGTTTATCTCTGATATACAAAAAAAAAAGGAATGTTGAATTAAAAAGTGACATCGTATCACTTGGGACACTCCCATAAGCGTGCCATCCCCATCATAAGCAGGAAGCGAAGAGTTCCAGTTCCTGTGGCACAAGTATCTGATTGTATATCTGTCTCTCCTTCCCCTTTCACCTTTCCTACAAAAAGGAATAAGAAATACGGATGTGCAAACCATGATTCATGTTTTCATAGTGGATATACTGAATAACTGAAGTCATTCTATCAGCAGTCAGTGTTTACTATATGGTTATAATGTCTGTCTCAGGGCCAGATTGATGTTTCTAAAGAAAAGACTAAACTGGAGAGCAAGAAAGAAACATTAAGCAAACAGCTAGCCAAACTCATTGAAGCAGCGGCCACTCCTGATTATGAAACCAAGGTGCCAGAAAAAGTGAGAAAGGATAATACAGAAAAGGTATGTTTGTCTGAATGTCATCTACTACAACTTGTCTGACTTCTGGTTTTTCTTGTTCACATTCACTGGCTGTAAACTCGTGTGGAAAATCCTGGTTGAGTCTTCCATTGTTGTGACATTAGTCTTGTTCCAGGACTTGAGTGTGGTATGCACATCTATTTTACAGATCTCGCCTATTTGTGTGTGCAGAAAGTTGGTTTCTTGTCTCTCAGACAGATACACTTGGATTTTGAAGTAAATCATATCTATGTTAGCCAGATTCCTGATGAAGAACCTGCTTGTAGGATGACTGTAGATAGCTGTTGACCAGTATGAGCCCTGGTCAGAAAGCACCACCATGTGTGGTTCAGCACTTTTGCCTCACTGTCTGGCAGCAATTTCTACTTATCTGATTGTTTCCACTAGTAAAATTATAGTCTATTTGATGTTGTTGTTGTGTGTGTGTTCACATATTGAAGTATATATTTATGTGGGGTGGGGGGGGGGGGGAATACAACAGAGGATACCATTTTCTGAATGCTGCCCCATTTCTCTGCTTATAATTCTTAGGTGCATCATATGATTGATGATTGCATCTTTCCGCCTTTCCAGAGGATAATGTTATATTGCGCTATAAGGATGCATGGGACTCACAGTCCATGTCGAGGGCGAGTGTGACTAGCAAGACCTGCCTGCTTTGAAATCAGTCTTCCATAATTATAACATTTATGTTTAATCTGCTTCTTCTCAGACACTCAGCTCTCATCCTTACTGCAATAATTTCTTCCTTCATTCTCATTCCCTTCCTGATGTGTCCCATCCACACAACACGGTCCATGGCATTTTGTTCCCAGTCCACCTCAGTACCTGTATCATTCATGTCCTGCTTGCACTCATCTTAATATCGTAGAAGAGGTCACCTGTCTTTAATTCACCATAGAGGAAGTCCTTAGGGACTCACGTCATCCTCCATTCTCCAGGTTTTACCCAGCCACCTGAGCCTTCATAGACTAAGCATTGAGAAGACTTGTAATACCTGCTCTTTCTTTCCAATACCTCAGTGTTTGTGATCTTGTCCTGCCACTTAATCATCATATGTGTAGATTTTATTTAACATATAATTGTTTGTTCCCCTATATGTTTTGTATGTCAGTTCAAACAGACAAATAATCATAAACAACATTCTTCTGGTTAATCCTGTTCTGTACTAAAAAAACAGCCATCGATATAGCACCTTTTTTTTTAATTTGTGACTGTTCCCCAAGCTGAAAATGCTGCTTAAAAGGGACTCTGCTTTACCCATTTGGGTTCTGGGACTCCCATGTGATGGATGTGTTCTCCTAAACAAGGATTGTATAAATAGCATCTAAGGATTGCTGAAGTCAGATGTGTTGGGAGGAAAGGGATCAATTGTTCAGTTTTGAGATCATCTTCGTCGCACATTGAACCTGACCATAAGTGCTCCGATCTCCTCCTCAGTATGTCTCCAAGTGTTTTAGACTAACAATTCCCATTTTGTTCTGGTGGATGTAACGACGGGTGGCTTCCTCATGGTTTTCCTGTCTCTCAGTACACCCCGGGTATGCAGTCTATTCAGTGAAAAATCATTTCCCACAAAAAATCTCACGCGTTTAGTCTCTCATTGATGATGTCTCCTGTCCATACAGGGCTTATTCCTCATATTCGCACTGCCAGCCAGAGCATCTGCTCTCTCTTTACCTTTCACACCAGCATGCTCTGTGACAAAGGGATAAATATGTTAGCTGTAAACCATAGCACAGTGTACCAGCCACTCTTGAGAAGAATGCAGAAGAAGACAAAGAAGGACCCTCTTTGAGCCACAGTATGACATTATGTAGAAAAGGAGTGCCAAGTTGTTCTGTATTCCCAAAAAAGCTTTCACGAAGTGCTTTCAACAGTGATATATTGTCTGACATTTAACCATGTTTTTGTTTTTAAAATTTCTTATAACTATTCATCCCCAGGTGGCAGCACTAACTGCAGAGATTCAGACCATCAGCAATGGAATTGAGACTCTACTGAAGCTGGAATAGAACTGTTTTTTTTAGTACATATTTAATCTGATTTTCTGTGTATACATTCACAATCATTATTGGTTCACATGATGTATGAATGCTACCATCACATTATCTTCATTCCTTCTGTTGGGTTGAATATATGAGCTAACCATAAAATTTTGTTGCATCCATTCCACAAACTAATGCAGAATAAACAGACTGGTTGTTTATGGCAATAGATCTGTCCCTGTCGTTACTTCTTTCAGATAGGTACCTTCCACAGACTACTTCTTCACAACAAGCGCAGTAAACTTCTGCATGCACTGCTAATCCTTTAGCTTTCTTGCCATCAGTTTTTCAAAATAAGATTGGTATTTTTACATACTGGACAGCAAAACGATTTTATATTTTCATCAATACCAAAAATAAAAATCAGCGACTTCTCTGTGTTGCATTTTTGTTTCTCCCCTGTCAACAGGAACATACTTACACACTTGCTGCTAGAGGTCATATATTCATACATAATCTCTTTTAAAATGGCTTCAGGTTTATTTAACTTAATTTGTTCCCCTTCATATTTCAACACGTGACAACCCCCCCCCCCCCCCCCCCCCCCCCCCCCCCCCATATTTCAACACGTGACAAAACCCCCCCCCCCCCCCATATTTCAACACCCCCCCCCCCCCCCCCCCCAACCCAAAACCCCCCCCCCCCCCCCCATATTCAAACACGTGACAAACCCCCCCCCCCCCCCATATTTCAACACCCGTGACAAAACCCCCCCCCCCCCCCCCCCCCATTTCAACACGTGACAACCCCCCCCCCCCCCCCCATATTTCAACACGTGACAACGTGACAACCCCCCCCCCCCCCCATATTTCAACACGTGAAATCCCCCCCCCCCCCATATTTTTTCAACACGTGAAATCCCCCCCCCCCCCCCCCCCCCCCCCCCCCCCCCCCCCCCCCCCCCCCCCCCCCCCCCCCCCCCCCCCCCCCCCCCCCCCCCCCCCCCCCCCCCCCCCCCCCCATATTTCAACACGTGAAATCCCCCCCCCCCTCCCTTTATCCGTTTTTATCCACCACCAAGACAAATCTGTTGAAGATTGTTAGGTATTGGTATCTGTAAATGTTTTATGTTTTTTATTTGGTAAACATTTTGAAAATATCCTAAGAAAAGTCGATCCTGGTATCTAAAAGCAAATGAAAAGAAACATCAGTAGAGAAAGACCATGCAGCTTACACGAGCTAAGTAACAACATACTGTAGAACAAGGGAACAGTATGGAAAAGCAACTTTAGACTATACTCATTTCCACCACTCATGTGATTCCACATCTGCTTGGCATGGAAACAGACACCCCCCCCCCCCCCCCCCCCCCCCCCCCCCCCCCCCCCCCCCCCCCAAAAAAAAACTGATAATTTGTATTAACTCTTTCACTGAATTAAACTAGATATTGCAGTCTAGCTCTAAGCCACTTTGTGCCAACCCTCCTTTTAAGGGCGATCAGAAGTAGCTTTTGGCAGGTTTCATCACGATCAAGTCCGAAGATGATTCTCCCTTTTCCTTGGCCACACTACAGGAAGAGAGATCCTGAACTAACCACATCACTGCATATACCTCCCAGATTAATATAAATGACAAACTGCAAAAGAAATTAATTGTAGGTATGTCTCCAAGTAAGAAATTACATAATTCTGCCAAAGCCTGTTTTTACATCTCAGGGTGGGGAAACCATCAGGTAACAAACCAAAAGCAGAAAAATTGAAGGAAGAAAGAGATCAAGTTTTTTTTTTAAAAATCTGCATGAATGGAATATTCAAAGAATACGGTACACGAGGAGATCTCGACTGCAATAAAATGGCAGTTAATGAGTTTTTATTTTTTTTATTTCAACATAATTTAATGTTTATAATTGTTAAAGCTTTGGCCATTCTCAGCAGTAGCCTGTTCGGAGTATGATAAACCAAACACAGAAAGCACTGTGTGTGTCAATTACGTGTCCAGAATAAAGTAATACATAATTGAATGTTGTTTAAACTGAGTACAAGTAAAGGACTGAGAGGTAAAAGGTGGCCAGCATGATACTGAACACATCACCCAGCCAGTGTCTTTGGATCATCACAATATTGGTTTAGCAGCATATACCTAATACATCATGATGAACACACACATTGTGATTGTAACTGACTCCGAAAGCATGCTGAGGAAGGTGAGGACAGGCATGCCTCGTACAGAGTGGCTTGCTTTGCTTCGGAGGTCACGCATGAGGAGCATTGTCTGGATCTTTTCTCCGGGGTATGCCAGTGTGTTGGGAAATGAACAGGCGTACAGACTGACTGGCTCTGCACAGTTTAGGGGCATGCTGATGCTTGATAAGTCAGATGTGGTTAGGGCCTTGTAGGAGAACATGTACAATTCAGAGGAGCAAATGGATCATCACAGTCTAGTGACGAGGGGATCTGGCCGATACTTGACACTCAGAGGAAAGGTAAGACTAACATACAAGACGAACATAGTCAAAATGCTACTGGCACAATTGATATTAGATCTATGCACTGACTGCTAAAGATGGGAATGGAGCACTTATGGGAATGCCTGGAGTGCTGTGATGTTGGTTCTTGAACTGAACTCAACTCTGGCGTCAAAAAAAGGGTCCTTTATTTATATTTGATGTTAAAAGTGTTCATGTTATTTACTGATGTGAGTTTTAGGAATGCAGTAATATTACTGTTGTTTTCTATACAATCTAAGTTATGTTCCTTCATGGAGAGGCTGTATTTGGTGAATGTATACAATTAGTCTTTCTGTTTCCAGAGATATTACAGTGTATTGTTGGACATTTTCTTGTTCGTGACGTCTAGGGTTTTCAAAATAAAAAGTTAACATTCTTAAAATCCACCAAATGTAATTTGAACCATTTTCTCAATTAAACTTGTTTTTGGCGGGAGTTCCTTGTTACTATCTTGTTATATATCTATTTATTTGAATGTGCTGTTTATATATACACACACAACACATCTATGTGTCTGTGTTATTAGCACCTTTCTGTCATTTCAGATGATAGACACTCTTATGCATGTATAGGGTACTTTGTGTGTACACACTCTTAAGCATTATTGGTCAAGAGGACTGACTTCAATGCACCAGGTTTTATGCCAGCATTTATCATTTACAGCCTTGAAACCACTTCTAATTAAAAAAAGAAATTTTTTACCACGCCACACACACACGCGTGCAGACACACCCACAGAGAGAGAGAGAGAGCTGTTTAACCACACCACACACATGCGTGCAGACACACCCACAGAGAGAGAGAGAGAGCTGTTTAACCACACCACACACATGCGTGCAGACACACCCACAGAGAGAGAGAGAGAGCTGTTTAACCACACCACACACACGCGTGCAGACACACCCACAGAGAGAGAGAGAGAGCTGTTTAACCACACCACACACACGCGTGCAGACACACCCACAGAGAGAGAGAGAGAGAGAGAGAGAGAGAGCTGTGAATTCTTTACAGGATGTTGCAGAACCAGCCACAGCATTTTTGGCTGTTGTTGTTTTTCTAGGCAAATTTACATTCAATAGTTTGCCATTGCCTCCTCAACGCTCAGCTCTCAGTATCACTGTCAAAATCAATGCAAGAGGGTCTCTGCCAAATCGCCTGCTGATAGGCAGGCTTGCTATTTTTAGTCGTGGAAAATTTTTTTTGCATCTAACAATCAAAACATCGACTCTCTTAAAAGAATCAGCTCAGAAAATGGGACTAGTTATCAGTCAAGATAAGACAGAATATCTGATAATAACTAGTCAGGGAAAGGATATAAATAAACTCCGGCCACACGCATGTTGATGATATGAAAATTAAACAAATGGAAACATATAAGTACTTGGGTGCAAAGTTCACCTGCTGCAACATGCTGAGAGAAAAAATACAGTCTAGAATACAATCTGAAAATAAAGTATACCTGTCCTTTAACATCTGCTAAAGTCAAAGTGTCTGTCTCGCAACATCAAGACCAAGATCAAAATATATAAAACGTTGATAAGACTAGTCGTTTTTTATGGCTCTGAAATGTGGAGCACAACTAAGAGAGATGAACTCTTTTTAAAGGTTTTTGAAAACAGTCTTACGACTTTGGACCCATCAAAGATGCAAACAGCGGGGAATGGAGAGTGAGAAGCATAACAAAATTCAAAATCTGTTTAAATCACCACTGATCACTGGCATCATGAGAGCTAATCAACTGAAATGGTTGGGGCATATTGAAAGAATGTCAGATGACAGAGAAGTAAAAATTGTATACACGAGGGAGATAAATGGTCATAGACCACGAGGCAGACCAAGAAGAAGATGGAGGGATAATGTCCAGACAGACCTGCAAACACTTGGTGTCACCAATGAGAAAGAGAATGCTAATCAGAGAGATAAATGAAGGTGGGTGATATCTGCATCAATAAATCTCAAGGGCTAGGAATGCTAAAGAAGAAGAATCATTAGCTATTGCATTTTCCGCCAGATATGGACTGAAAGGATATAATTCCATCACCCAGCTACTAAGCTGAGTGAGTTTCATAACACTGAGCTACAGATTTTATTTGGAATGCTTTTTTTGCTGCACCCAACCCAACATAAAATGATGGCAGGCTGTTGCCAAGAACTGTTGGTGCCTTATGCAATTAAACATGTGTGCAGTTACTGATTTGTTTTAAAGGCTGTTTCCATTAATGATACACCGCATATCTAGCGCCAAACTATTTGTGTTGGCACTTCTGACGACTGGCTGCCATTCACATTTAATGCCTGTCTATGCAATTGGCCTTGCTGGAACTGCAGTCTGTGTCAGTGATGAGCATTTTATGTCATTTTTGCTGGCACAGGAACTATGGGGTGACCCATAACTCTACCAGACCACTGTACCGCTTTTCCGGTAATTTCCTAATCTGCCACTAAACTGCTGTACCTAATTTTCGGTACTTTGCATACTAAGTGATAAAAAGCGTCACAAACTAAAAATAACCAACCAATCGTGATAAAACCTCGTGGTAAGTCATTGCAAATAGCTGCCCATGTGTGTTTAGGTTTACTTAGTGGGTTTAACATAAATTCTGATAATTCACAATTAACTAGCGGCTGATGAACCAAGCACCCCGACAGGAAAGTGAAATAGGTCTAGGTTTTTCACAGTCCAACAGATGATCGACACTTTGGTTGATTCAGACTCTAGGGAGTCAGAATTTCATGAAGAATACGTTCACAGTTGAAGTGACGCAGTCAGTATGAGCGATGAGGAGAATCTTGAAAATTATAGATTTAAAACTAGATTGATAGTAAGAGAAGGGGGCGTGTCCCTCAAATAGCAACATCAGGTGCTCACTTTGTGAAACAACGCTGATCCTACTGGGTGGATTGGCACATAAAGGTGAAATATTGGCGCTAGATGAAAGGTAAACCTATTTTCTACAATGTCTCCAGTTTCCTCCTATTCTAACCACTTGTTTGCATGTAACTAATATTTTTGCATATCATGTTGGTTTTTCGCGTTAATGCTCAGGTATAGGGGCAGTTAGGTTCAGGGCCTCAGGTCTGGTAGGGTTAAACAGTAAAGTTCAAACTGCAATTATCTGATATATCAACCATCTCCTGTACTACCTTACTGATCAGTACAACATATGCCACCACAAACACATCAGTATTACATATCTCACCAATATCACATGTCCTGCACAAAACCTGTGTGTGACCACCAATATTTTTTTCTACTGCACATACTAACAGGGGTGGACCAAAACGAAGATGGGCACAGGAAATAAGTGATTCCTTGAATATGAAAGTACACGAGGCGGGGGAGCTGGCGAGAGACCGAGTTTCTTTCAGGCAGACCATAATAAGAGTGATTTTCTGTAAAGGACCCGCTACATGATGATGATGATGACATACTAAACTATGAACCAGCAAGAATTAAATGAGAGTAGAGCGTAAGTCAGACTAAGAAGACGGTGGAGATGTAATATACAAGCAGACCTACAGATACAAACACTTGGAGCCACGAACTGGAAAGAAAAGGCCAACCACAGAGATCAGTGGGTTTGGGCAATGAACTTCAAGGGCTAGGGGAGACAAAACATCTGAACATGTCCCTGTTCTTCACAACCTGTGGTCCACCAAAACTATGCTACAGTGGAAACCAAATGGAGAAACAATGGATGTTATTGCAATGCTTCATCTTAAAGAAACAATGCTCCACTGACATACATCAGATTTTCATCCATAAAGGCACGTAATGGAGGCATCCAGTGTTCCCCTATTCGAAGGCCCTGTCCGTAGCCAGCCGCCCCATCCAACATGATCTGCATTGCCATGACAAACAGTATTGATGAGATCGCACACCCCAATGGAGAAACAATGGATGTTATTGCAATGCTTCATCTTAAAGAAACAATGCTCCACTGACATACATCAGATTTTCCAACCCATAATTAGCGGATGCTGCATTTGCTTAAAACAAATTTTTTGTGTCAATCGTCAGTAGGTCTGCAAATTATTTCTCATATTTGCTGGTCTTGTCAAACACCACATTTCAGTTACATGTCACCACAAACACAGCTTCACTACCACTCAGGTGACAATTAACACAACATATGTTCAAGAACATAGACAGAAGAAAACAGAAAACTAAACGCTGATCATGTTTAATTCAACATTTAAAATGCTTCTCAAAGTGTTCAACAACACTGGTTCAAAGACATAGTTTAGATTGCATAAATGTGATAACTTTAGAACACTTGTAAATTTTGATATTGTTAACAACACTGATATAGTTGGCAACATTAGGAAAAATTTATGATATTTTGGTACAACATTGGTTAAACTGGGTACAGTTAACATTGGATAAAGTTTATCTTGATACAGTGATAACTGATCTGAGTACAGTTAGCAACGCTGGGTAAACTTTATATTTTGGTGCCATACTGATTAACCCAGATGTAGTTAATGACACTGGGTAAACAATATCTTGGTGTAACACGGGGTAATCTTGAGTATAGTTAAAGACATTGGGTAAACTTAGTTAATTTAGATGTAGGTGAACATTATTTTCATTCTTAGGTGAACAAAGAAGATGTAGAACAGTGCAAGCTAAAAAAAAAAAAACGTCATGTAATAAAAAATGTATTAAAAAAATTGAAGCGAAAAAGCTTTTTTCAGAGATACACAGTGCCAGTTTTGATGTATGGGAAGTGAATAGTGGACAGTCAGGAGATTAATAGAAAAATAAAATTAAAAAAATTAAGTGAAAGCTGCAAAGTTGTGGTTTTAAATATTGTAATGAGTCATTTTCTCATTATTAATTAATGTTCTCATTTAGAAATAAGGTTAAAAACTAAACATAAATTATGTGCCTGAATGTGGTTAAATGGTATCGAGTACGAAGTATGCATCGAGTAATGAATGACAAAAAAACTCGAGACAAACGTGCGAGTAGGCGAAAAGTGTGCCAGTTGAAAGAAATTATGAATCAGGTGTGGAACGTTCGAGAACTCAAGAGGAAACTTGGAATTATCAAGAAGAGTCAGTCTTGTTTTAAATCCTGGGACAGTATGTCTGACGGCACTGGAAGAATGAAAGTCTAGTGAACAGAAAAGGGCAATCCATATTCTTTTGATACACCAAAAGGGAATGCAACAGGAAAGTTTGAGACCAAGGAAGAAGATATCTGACAGTTTGGCATCACGGCATGGTGAAGTGGTCAAGGTGTTTGCCTCATGATCTGAAAGTCATGGGTTCGTTTCACAGCTGCGACGCTCGGCTCACAAGTGCAATTTTTGTGAAGATGCCTGAGGATCATTGCCGGATTACAGAGTTGTTGCTCCCGGCAGGCAGCTAGTCGTACTGTGGAGAGGGACCGAGCCATATGGGAAGGGGGGGGGAATAAAACCTGGTGTGATGAAATCAATCCTCTCACCTTTAACCTTAAGTATCATAGCATGGAGCAGCATTTTTATTGCTGGCAATATATGAGACTGAAGGTCGTGGACAAAGCATGATATGACCAATGAAACATGGGATGGGAGTCATTATTTGTAATGAATAAAGTCATTTCAAACTGCATTAATGTTTAATGAAAAGACACAAATAAACAGCATAAACTACTCTACCACAAGACTACATATGTCCCATGCACATTTACACATCAGTTAGAACTAAGCAAGTGAATTATTACAGAGTCCATGTGTAAATCTTATGTGAAAATAGTATGTGAATCATTACAGAGTCAATATGTAAATTTTACACCATGCTGATATGTGAGGAAACTACCTGAAGTAGATCACGTTTAATTCCTCATAAGAAGACTGTCATAGTCCGAGGGACAGAAGAGGCATTCTAAACACAGAACTGGGCAATACGGCCAGTTAGTCACTAGAGAAGTTGGATATCACAGCAGAGAAAGAAGACGGACGCAGTGATACATGGACAAGTATAAACAGCTAGCAGTGAAATAACAAATGCAATTTAAAGCAATTTATTCGACATAGCTGTAAACAAAAATTGTTGGAAATACAAGCTGTGTAACTGTAAAAAGATGTAAATGAAGTTTCTTGGAAATAAAAGCTATTAACTGCAACAACAAAAAAGAAGGCAAGTTGTGGAAATAAAAGCTATTAACTGCAACAACAAACAGGAAAGCAAGTTGTGGAAATAAAAGCTATTAACTACAACAACAAAAAAGAAGGCGAAAAGGAAAATTTAACTAAATGAAAGTCAGTGACATAAGTATTTAACTTTTGATCCAGGAACTGATGATTCTCTTCTCCTGTTCCCTGGCCTGTATAACCCCAGGTGGATCAAGTGGGTTTGAAGCCCTGTAACAAAAACAGTAACAATAAAGATTCTCTCAATACATACTTGCAAGACAAGCTAACAAACTGTTCAGTTTGTCTCAGTAAATCCTTACAAAACAAATGCGGAGAGATACACATACTGCGGAGGGACATACGTACTGCAGAGGGAATACCAGCTCGAATAGACCAAATGGTCTGACTAAAGTAAAGGATCCTTTCTATGCCAGTGGCACACTCGGCATATGATATTAAAACTCATTTTTGTTTTGAACGATCTGCACTTGAATTTATGTAGTACCCATTTTTAGACTGACTCAACCTGACAGTCTAAGTAAAAAATTTTTTTTAGAGCTCCAACTTAATTTAGATTTGAACTCAAGACCTTTGGGCTGCTAGACCATTGCGGCTCAAGTATGATATGCAGTGAGGATGATTTGTCAACTGACATCTTAACAAGTGAAGTAAAAGTAAAGGACCCTTTTCCACACCTTCAGGCGTATGGGCATATAGGGTTAGACCTACATATTTTAGACCAATCAACACTATGTGGGTGATGTGGTTAGCATCACACCAGCTGCCTCTACTTCCCAGAACTATATCTGGTACCCACTCAAAGCTGGGCGGACTTATTTAGTCGACTCTTAGGACATGCTTGTTGGGGGAGGCAGTGGGGCTATTCTTGTTTTCAGCACAATGGGGCACAGGAACCCACATGTGGAGTATTTAGTACATCAGCACACCTACGGTCACCCTTATTTACGGCTCAAAAGTTAGCTCGCTGGCTTTGGAACAAAGCTGGAAATTTGGAAACAAATTATAAGTTTTTAATATCATACTGATCTCTGACCTCTTGGGTAATGTGATAGGAGACTCAGTCTTCTCAGATAAGTATGGGAAGCAGGAGGCCCCATGTGCAAGGTCTTTGGTGTTCAGGACCAACTCTATTGACAATATTCCTAAATGCCACAGTTCAGATCCTCTAGAATCAATTCTTTCCACTGCTTATCTTTTCAGTCATCACTTAATACTTTGGTATCTGTAAAACACAGTATTCCTCAAATGTATATTCTACCAGAAGTATCATCAATAAAACATATTTGATTGTATATACCGAACCATACAAAACTAGACATCTTTTACAAGGCAGACACAACTAACCTCAGGTCAAGGTGATGAGCTCCACCTATCACAGAGACGGCAATGATGGAGTCTGAGATGTTACTACTGATCTGCAAATTGGAAACACACATGAGACAGTTTGTAACATCTAAGATTATTCTAAACACTGAAATAACAGACATAACCCCACCCCCCTAAATATAACAATTTAAAACCAGTACTAACTGTGTCGGAAGTCACCGTGGCGTAGCGGCTAGACGCTCCCGTGCGAATCGGAAGGTCGTGGTTTTGCTCCCTGGCGGAGCCGGACTTTTCTTCTAAAATGACCTTGACTCCTAGGTCGACCCAGCCTTGAGTGGCTACCAGGTGCAGTCCTGGGAAGTAAAGGTGGCTGACGTCATGCTGACCACATCACCCATCTTGTGCCGATTGGTCTATAAAAATATAGGTCTAGCCCCATATGCCCACAGGCGTGGAAAAGGGACCTTTACTTTTTTTACTTTACTTACTACCTGCGTCAGTTTGACTCTTTCATAAAATATAAGACGATGTAATAATTCTTTTTAGCATTCCCTGGATGTAAACTCTGGTAGAAAGTTCTGGTTGTTTGTCCACTTCTGGACTTATGTTTTGTTCCAGAACTTGGGTTTTGCATGCACATCTGTTTTACAGATCTGGTTTATTTTTGTGCAGACTATTTGTCCCCACCTCTCTGGCTGATGCACTCTGACTTGAAAGGAAACACCCAAAATTAGTTGACTTTAACAACATGCTTGTTAGCAGGAGAAGGGGGGTCCAGGGCCTGTGGCAGGAGTTGTGAAGATGCTTCGTAATGCTGAGATGCCAGGTTCGATTCCAGCTGCAGGAGATTTGGTAGCAAACCAACTTGCGTTAGTTTCGACAGTTTTACTGAGAGCTGACCATTGAGAAGCAATGGCAAACTACTGAACGTAAATTTGCCTAGAAAAACAACAGCCAAAAAATTTCTGGGCTTGGTGCTCCTACATCCTGTAAAGGGTACATAATTCACTTTTTGTTTTTGTTTTGTTGGGGGGGGGGGGGGGGGAGGGTCCTTATGTGTTATTCTGTTTTCTCCCAAATTGATTTCTCCAGGAACCCACAAGGGAAGATTTAAGACATACACATATGAGGCTATCAACAACTATTATGTGTACCCTTGTACCCACCCTACATTCCAACCTTTTATGTTTTATAAATACTTGGTTTATTGTTTTATTGTGAACAGTAACCCCATTTAACAGCAATGAGGCATATAGAGTATTCAGTGTTAGACCTATTTCATCACAGTGAATATAATTAATATGTCAGTTACTTCCCCATAGTGATTCAACAATACCAATTAGGGAAAAAAAAAGGGTGGGGGGATAGTAATGCACCACTGCCCCCCCCCCCCCCCCCCCCCAAAAAAAACATTTCATAAAAGGTGACCAATTGATAGTCTGCTGAAATCCAAGGTGTTGGACTAAAACACACAGATATCACAGCCTAAATGTAAACAACATCATAACATGCCAGTCATCTTTTAAAGAGAGAATGCCAAATACATCAGCTGCTTACTTCACAGAGTTTTGTCACCCACTTGTTTAAGGCCTGGCCAAAAGAAAATTAAACTGATTAAGTTATTACTTACCCCACCACCCTGCCATGGATCCAGGTTGCCATTAGAGAAGATGATGTTGCTAGAACTACTGATTTCTGGGAAGAGAAGCAAGTATCACCAGGTTAAACATTCTTGTACGCGCCAAGGTCAACATAATGTCAGGACAGAAACTGGGTAAAAGTATTAGTCGCATGCATGCCGAAAGGTCTGAGTTCAAGTCCACTTGTGATCAGATTGACCAGGACTAAACTGTGTACCAGGGAAAGGCCTGAATTGTAAAGGCAGCTGGTGGAATGTTGTCTGCATCTTTTATCGAGTGCTGATTGATTGCTAACATTCCCCCATGTGGGTTCTGGGGCTCCATTTTTGGGAGGAAAACAGAATAAACCCAATCCCCCCCACCCTCACAAGTATGACGTAAGATTGACTAATTAGGGGTGTATCCTCTTAGGTCTGAGTGCCTCTGACTGACAACCAACAGTCTGCATACCAATAAATTAGATTTATAAAATTAAAAGGCATGCAAAGCAAGTTCTGGAATATGACCAAAACCCTGAAGTGGACGAACGACCAGAACTTTTCCATCAGAGTTTACAGCCGGTAAACACTAAGAAGAAGAAGAATAAGATCTACAGAATTATGAGTCAAGCAAAATATTGCTAACACACCAATGGCGGGAAAAAACCATTATTTTATTTTTAATTCTGAAGTGAACTACTGTTAAATAATTTCATGACACAAACAAATCAATTGTTTTTTTTTTTTTCATTGTTTAATCAGCTAGTTAGTTAGTTAGTTGGGTTATCATCATTGCACTCCTGACATGTCCATAGGTGCTCAAATCCTCCCCTCAGTATGAACCCCAACGTCCGATGGATAATAGTACCAGTGCGTCTCGTTTTTGCTGTGCCGATCTTAATTCCCAAGTCTGCCATTCTGGCGAGTGATGTGGATTCACTGCCATTAAAGTCCGCTATCCTTCCCATTTCTCTGAGGGCATTGATAATATCAGCATGATTCATAGGCTGACCGTCGGTAGTGATAGCGGATCCAGCCAACCTGTCAGCTTTTTCATTTCCATCGACGCCTGTATGTTCCGGAACAAAAATAAAGGTGACTCCACGCACAGTGGACTTCTGTAATGATTCAAGCCATTGTCTTTGCACTGAACCTGCCTGAACCCTCCGGATCATACTCATTGAATCACTGAGTATACATACGCGGGTGTATTTTTGTGTTTCAAGCCAGGCAAACGCTTGCGTCACTGCCGTCACCTCCATCGTCATACTGCTGGTTGTCATGGAGAAGGCGCCGTTTGCTTCTTTGACTGTTCTGCCAGCTGATCGTGCTGTGAATGCCCATGCGCTTCTTCTTTGGCGTATAACGGATCCGTCTGTATAGATTAGTGCATCTGCTTCGTCTGAATTTTCACTGATGAGAACTTTGACCTCTGCATTAACAGCAACAGGATTCTCTTCTCTACAATCATACTGGTCGACTACAATCAGTAACCACACAGGTCAGCTTCAATCAATAACAACGCAGGTCAGCTACAATCAATACCCACACAGGTCAGCTACAATCAATGACCATACAGGTCAGCTACAATCAATGACCATACAGGTCAGCTACAATCAATGACCATACAGGTCAGCTACAATCAATGACCATACAGGTCAGCTACAATCAATGACCATATAGGTCAGCTTCAATCAATGACCATACAGGTCAGCTACAATCAATGACCATACAGGTCAGCTACAATCAATGACCATATAGGTCAGCTACAATCAATGACCATATAGGTCAGCTACAAACAATGACCATATAGGTCGGCTACAATCAGTGACCATACAGGTCGGCTACAATCAATGACCATATAGGTCGGCTACAATCAATGACCATATAGGTCAGCTACAATCAATAACCATACAGGTCAGCTACAATCAATGACCATATAGGTCAGCTACAATCAATAACCATATAGGTCAGCTACAATAAATGACCATATAGGTCAGCTACAATCAATGACCATATAGGTCAGCTACAATCAATGACCATATAGGTCAGCTACAATCAATAACCATACAGGTCAGCTACAATCAAAAACCATATAGGTCAGCTACAATCAATAACCATATAGGTCAGCTACAATCAATGACCATACAGGTCAGCTACAATCAATAACCATACAGGTCAGCTACAATCAAAAACCATATAGGTCAGCTACAATCAATAACCATATAGGTCAGCTACAATCAATAACCATATAGGTCAGCTACAATCAATAACCATATAGGTCAGCTACAATCAATAACCATATAGGTCAGCTACAATCAATAACCATATAGGTCAGCTACAATCAATGACCATATAGGTCAGCTACAATCAATGACCATATAGGTCAGCTACAATGAATAACCATATAGGTCAGCTACAATCAATGACCATATAGGTCAGCTACAATCAATAACCACACCGGTCAGCTACAATCAACCACTGTAATCAACTACAATCGTGAAGTTCTTTCGAGATCATGTATCTGATCCAGTGAAGCACCTCTCGGCATTTTCATCAACCTTCGATTTAATGGTTCTCTCAGACATCTTTGTTTCCTTTAATCGGCTGGTTTTCCATTTCAGTGCATGTTTGGTAATTATGCTCTCTTTTTTTCCTCAGGAAATATATGATATGCTTATTTCGACCCAAAAATTAGATGCCTGGGCAGTTATTATGTTTTGTGATACATATATACAAAATGAGCTCAGTTCAGAATCAACATTGCAGCACTCAGGATATTTCCGTAAGTGCTCCATTCCCATCTTCAGTAGCCAGAGCAGAGTTCCAATTCTGATAGTACCAGTAGCAGTAGGAATGTATGTCCATCTTGCCTTTTCTCTGAGTGATGAATGTCGGCCACATCTGCTGGTCATTCCCTGCAGAACATGCTGATCTATTTGTGCTTTCGCGCTGTGCAATCACTTCTAAAGGGTCTTGATAACCTATAACTTATCATGAATCAGTTCACCATCAAGCGGTGCAGTAGCAGCGAACCTGTCTGCCTATTCATTTCCCTCCCCACATGCAAAATCTGGCAGTAAAGAAATACTTACTTAAACCCAAAAATTCAATTCCTGCCCAGTTATTACGAGTTGTGATGCCATATGTTTTCTGACAGTACTCTTTCTTGAGCTCCAGGTTCCAGGGGATAACAGGAAACATATCTGTGACATTGTTACTGCCGTCGGGTAAGGCCAGCTCTGTACAAGCCTGACAGAAAGGAACGAGATAAGTTAACATCAAGGACACTTTCTTTATTTTAACACCCGTAGTGTACCAGGCATACGACGCTATACTCATATTTCATAAACCTTTCGGCTGACAGCAGATGATGTGGTCAAAATCTTGCAGGCTCCTAATGACTGGCACCTTTCTGGATTATTTTTTTTAGACAATTACTGCACTCAGGAGGCATGGAAATGAACAAAGCTTTCTCATAACACAAAGCCAGAGCAGTTTTTTTGGGACACCATGTGTTACTGATGCTTCAGGATCTCTCTCTCTGCATGCTTTGTTTACTCCAAAAGGGAAGGTAACACCAGGTCGGAACAAAGCTTGCTGCAGATGCTGCCAGGATATTACCTGGTGCCAATTTTGGCAGCAACATCATAATTTTTTTTTAAATCTGCCCAGTGAGGATACGAAACCTAGATTTTTAGGCCGGCAGACAAGTATCAAACCACTACACTACCGCAGCCCCCCAAAGTTAAATAATATACTGTCCTGTACCTAAGGGAGATATCTTAGGATGTATAGAACCTGTTCTGCTGTATGGCAGTGAATCTTGGAATGTCAGTGAACAAATTAAGAAGAATTCTGAAGCAACAGAGATGTGATTTCTGAGACGAATGTTGCGAATACCTTGGCCGGCCAGAGTAACTAACATCGATTGTTTGAAAGAAGCTAATGAAAGAAGATCTCTATATACAATAAAAAGAAGGAGACAAACACTGTTTTTTGGCCACGTAATGAGAACATCATGACAACTGGAAAGATCAGTAGAAAGAAGGGTAGAAGCAGATCAAGAAAGATGATGCTGAAACGATGGCATGGAGGGATGTCATTCAAGAGCTGTTCAAGGCAACCAGGGACCGTGAACTGTGTAGATGCATTAACGCCTAGGCCAACTGGCAGGACACATGATGATGATGATGATCTTGGGATGCACACGTTTCAAAGTGGGAATTTACTATTTGTTGTTGCCCCACAAAAAGCATGTCATAAAATGTGAACAATTAGGGGTTTGCTAAAAAATCGGACTTGTTGGGTTGAGAGGCAAAGATATCACAGCCTAGCTGTAAACCCTAACACAATGTGCTGGCCGCACTTGTGATGGGGAAGAAGAAAGTCATGAGCCATTTAGTCCATGAACCATTCAGTCTGTGAACTGTTCATGAGCCATTCAGCCCCTTAACCATTCAGTCCATGAGCTGTTCAGTCCATGAGCCATTCAGACCATGAGCCATTCAGTCCATGAGCCATTCAGTCCATGAGCCATTCAGTCCATGAGCCATTCAGTCCATGGGCCATTCAGTCCATGGGCCATTCAGACCATGAGCCATTCAGACCATGAGCCATTCAGCCCCTGAACCATTCAGTCCATGAGCCATTCAGTCCATGAGCCATTCAGTCCATGAACCCTTCAGCCATGAGCCGTTCAGTCCATGAGCCATTCAGTCCATGAGATGTTCAGTCCATAAACCATTCAGTCCATGAGTGCTCAGTTCCCCTCTTCAGTCTATCTTTCAGTCTATAGCAGCTGTTGGCACCAGTTCTTTGTTGTTTTATATTTCTTGTTTGGTTTTGTGCACAGTGTTCTTGTCTGGCCTCACTCACTTTGACTTGTTTTTGCAGTCGTCAAAGCTGCAGATTCACATTTAATCACTCAAATGCCCCACCATTTAAAGTATGTTTCCCGCATTGTAAATTTGAACAAAGCAGATACAAACAACAGATTCGCCGGGTAGTCAGGGTAGCTCAGAGCCTGCATAAAGATTATTGGTTCAAATCTGCATCAAGGTGGATTTTGTATTCTTGGACAAGGCTTCCATGTTGACCCAGTTTAAACTGAGTACCAGGAAGTGTTTGGGAATGTAAAGGTACATGACATGTTATTTAGCCTTCTTTTATTTCTTTAGCGCTGTGGTCTTCAGTGCTGTCCTATCCAATGCCAGCATTGTGTCCTCACTTTTCTGATTCACTTTGTTGTCTCCTAAAGCCCCAAGTATCAACAAAATATGGAGCTCTAAGTTATGCAGCTTTAAGACCAAACTAAGAATCTTCAGTTCTAATTTTATTTCAATTTAAACATATGCCGGTGAAAGTTGGAGACCTATCAAAGATACGGAACAAAAGGTAAATGCAACTGAAAATAAATGTCCGAGAAAAATCAAGATAAAAAAAAATTTGATGAATTTTAAAAACGTGAGGAGATCAGAGAAATGTCTGGACAAATACCTCTTGCGATTCCAATAAGACAAAAAAGGTGGAGATACATGGGAACACTCTGAGCAAAGAATTACAAAACAAGCACTAAAATGGGGAATAAACGGTCTGAAAAAAGAGGATGTCCAAGGGAAACATAAAGAAGATCATTATTATGAGAAGTTAAAAACGTTTGACTGAACTCCATGTCAGAAATAAAGAGAGTTACATACAACAGAGTGGAATGGAGGAATCAAATGCGAGTCCTATGTGACGTCTAATAGCACATAAAGGATGATGATGATGATGAAAGCTTGAGTCTAGTTGCAAAAAACAATATAGGAATAATTGCTATAAGTGTAATAGAATTGACAGCCTCTCTAAGAGAACAAACTGCCATAACAGCAGCTGCTGACTTCTCGAGGGAGAACAAAGTTGCTTTAGTATCATGTTTTTAATAAACCAAAATCACTCAAGATTAAAAAATTTTTAAAGCAAAAGTAATATTAAAAGGAGTGATATGCACCAACTAAGTAATCCTAGGCTATAGCATGATGTTTCCAAAGAGTGCTCTAGATAAACCATGATAACAATAATAATAATTAATAACATTAGGAGCAAGTATCTGACATGCACCCACCTGGTAATCCCAAGCTATGGCATCTGGGCCAATGCCACAGCCTGTGGGGTCAGCACACGGGATGTACTCTGACTTGAAGTCGTAGCATGGCACCGAGGTGTTGTACAACACACCTGAGTGTCATTATTTGATAGAGAGACAAAAAAAAAGCAAGTAAACATCGAGTGACACAGCTGATGAAGACTTGTATGTATCACTACATGGCATCATGTTCGAAGGAATTAGCTCAGGTGCTACTGGACTGACAACAATAACGTACATTTAAACAGTAAAGTAAAAGATCCTTTTTCACACCTTTAGGCCTACTGGGCATATAGGGCTAGACCTATATTTTATAGAATAATCAGCACTTAGTGGGTGATGTGGTCGGCATCAAACCAGCGTCTTTACTTCCCAGAACTTTACCTGGTATGCTGTAAGCTGCACTGATCTAGAAGCCGAGGTTATTTTCTGAAGAAAAAAAGAAGTCTAGCACCATTTGGATTTGAACCCACGACCTTCAGATCCACAGGGGAACGTCTAGCTGTTATACCACAGCAGCTCCCATTTAAAAAGTCGAGAAAGCATAAATTAAATAATAATAATTGGCAATAATAATTAACATAGTTAGTGATAAACTATAAATGACAGTGCATTGAAGCAATGGTGGCTAGCATGCTCACATGACAGCCAAATGGTTATGTGATTGAATCCCTTTAAGTGCACGCATGTTTTAAATAACCCAGGTTCCCAGGCTGACCCAGACTAAAATTGATATTAGGAAATCTGCTTGGTAGTAAAGGTAGCCAGAATAATATGCACAACATTATTCACGGAGAATCAATAGGTGTTTAAATATAGGGCTAACAAAGTACTCTGTAACTGCCTCATGGAGAAAGAGTAGCAAAGTAAATTAGTTATGTGTTCAGAACTGACATCACAGCACTCAGGAAATCCATAAGCATTCTGTTCCCATCTTCAGCAGCAAGCAGAGTTGTAATTCTGATAGTACCAGTAATAGACTGAATGACTGTTGCTTCCCTTCCCTGAGCTTCGGCTAGTTTCCTGACTACTTTTCGCTGCACCATTCGATTCAGACTATGACTCACCAAGGCGAGTAAACAAGCATTGAAAGTTAATTTTAAAAACTCTGTGTGGGAAACATGGGGGGGGGGGGGGGGGGGGGGGGGGGGAAACTGGGGGGGGGGGGGGGGGGGGGGGGGGGGGGGGGGGGGGGGGGGGGGGGGGGGGGGGGGGGGGGGGGGGGGGGGAGGGGGAAAGAATAGAGTAGTCCACACTGCTCGCCTAACAAACATGTCCTAAATATGGTGGGTTGAAAGGCAAAGATATTGCAGCCTAGCTGTAACTCACAACACAATGGTCAAGGACAAGCACAAAGAGGAAAGAAGAAAACAAACAAAAAAACTAACCAGCCGCAGCAGCAAGTCCTTTCAATGGATCTGAAGCTTCCAGGATTTTCTGACAAGCCACCTGTGAGACACAACATGGCATCTCTGATCAAGAAGAACATCCTTTTAAATAATAAAATGGGGTGACAAATGAATGACCTTCCCCAGTACATTTCCTTGCCAGAAAATATCTTGTGCCCAAGTTGTGAAGTTGGGTTGACCATAGTTGTACTGGTATGAAAATATCTGGTACCCATGTTATGAAGTTGGGTTGACCATAGTTGTACTGGTATGAAAATATCTGGTAACCACGTTATGAGGTTGGGTTAACCATAGTTGTACTGGTACGAAAATATCTGGTAACCATGTTATGAGGTTGGGTTAACCATAGTTGCACTGGTACGCAAATATCTAGTACCCATGTTATGAGGTTGGGTTAACCATAGTTGTACTGGTACGCAAATATCTAGTACCCATGTTAGAAGGTTGGGTTGACCATAGTTGTACTGGTAAGAATAATATCCTCTCCTCCCTGGCACTGTGGGAACCACTATGTGTAGCGGCTAGATACTCGCCTGCAGATCTGAAGGTCATGGGTTCAAATCTGAACAGAGCTAGACTTTTTCAAAAATGACACTGGTTTCCAGCTCAACCTAGCCTTTGATGGGTACCATGTAAAGTCCCGGAAAGCAAAGGCGGTCAGTGTGATGCTGACCAAATTACCCACTGAGTGTCGACTGGTATATAAAATCTAGGTCTAGACCTATATATCCAACATACCAAAAGGTGTAGAAACAGGTCCATCGCTTTACTTTCTACTTTTGCTGGCACTGTATTCTAAACCAGCAATTAGATAAGGTTTGAGGCCTGTCTTATTTTCGATGGTTTCAGATAGTGGTGTCAGACAGTGGTTTCAGATAGTGGTGTGAGAGTTAGACTGTGAAAGGGGTTTTAGGCCTCGCCACACAAGATTCCCAGAGTCAGCGGTGGAGGCACACAGCCACTGCAGAGAGATGGCAAACAAATGATTTTGTAATACACACTTTCTCCGTGCGGGTTGCAGGAAAATAGAACAGACCCTCTGCGCCCTAACAAGCATGTTTAAGAGGTGACTAATTAGGAATGTTTTCCTTGAAGTCAGACTGCATTCACATGAGAGGTGAGGAACCAACAGTCTGCATAAAAATAAACTCGATCTATAAAAAGGGTGTGCATGCAAGACTTTAGTTCTGGAAAAAAAGACTACAATCCAAAAGTAGATGAACAGCCTGAACTTTCCACCAAAGTTTACAGCCGTCAGCTTAGAGAAGAGAAGTAATACACACTTAATTATGTATAATTATTACAAACACAAGAAGAATGTTTCATGAAATATGACAAACAAAACCCAACCAGACTAACTGAAAGACCAAATATTCTACCTTCACCGGGAAAGCTGGCATCTGTGCCATAAAACTGGCAGGGTATGGGTAATCGAGCATAGCCATCATCACAAAAGCATTTCTGGCCCAGCCCAAGAGCTGACTGTAGGAAGCTGCATCTGTGAGCTTGTCACACAGCTGGAACTTTGAGGCCACCTCATCAAGGCCTTCAACAGAAGAGATTGTCACAGATCAAGCAAGAGAAAACAACGCTGAATAAATATCTGACCATTGCCAATCAAACAATTAATCAAATCCTTATTTGTCTGTTAAACAATTATTCAATTCCTCATTTGTCCATTACCAATCAAACAATTAATAAATCATTCATTTGTCCGTTACCAATCAAATAATTAATTAATCCTTTATTTGTCTGTTACCAATCAATTCCCCCATTCGTCTGTTATCAATCAAACAATTAATTAATCCCCCATTTGTCCGTTACCAACCAATCCCTTGTTTGTCCGTTACCAACCAATCCCCTGTTTGTCTGTTACCAATCAAATAATTAATCATTCCCCCAATTAGAATTTTGAAGCAAGTCAAGACAAAACAACACTGCAATAGACAACCACTATTAGTGCTAGTTTTATAGAACAAACATGAAAGACTTTCATTGTCTGTCCTTATCATATATCATAGTTAAAATGGCTGCCAAAAGTCCACACCTGACTCACCTGCGCTTGAAATTAGTTAAACTCAAATATTGTAACTCTGCCACAACCCAGCTGAATGGATAAAACAATACAGAGAAATAAAATAAACAGAAAAAAAACACATTAATAACACAGGACCAGTAACAAAATAAAAGCTTTACACAAACATAATACAAGAAAGTGCAACACTTTAGTTCCAGTCAAGACGGCATGCCAAGTGTACGTTTTTTTTTTTCGGCCAGCGTCTAACCAAAGTCAGTTTCTGACTCCCTAGAATGGGAGCTGTGGTTCACTGGAATGTGATAGTCGTCTAGTTCAAGTGTGACGTTCTGGAAAGACTGCACACTGTGACTTGTCCAGCAAACTGATAATGGTTATTTAGTGTTTATAGAAGAAAAAAAAAAAGATCTCATGAACCGACCAGAATGAAAGGGACAGTGCCCAAGGATATTACGAACAGAAGAGTATAAACACACAACTGGAGCCCAGTTTGCATAATAAATATTGATTTATTTACAGTCAATAGCCCTGTGGCAAAGATTATGCAAATAAAATGTAACAATTAGCATATAAATACTCTTGTTGGTGTAAATCAGTTACCTGACTGGCCCCGTGCTGCCAAGTCATTCATCTGCCTGAAGGCCAGTTTTACCAGATCATAGCATTTCTCACTGACGTCTCGAAAATCCTGGACAGAGACAAAGAGAAAGGCACTACTTCACTAAACAATTATTAAAAATGGGTCATAGTAGTGCATCATGCATTTATTCCCAGCCAATCTTAAATTTGCATTGACTTAGACTTTGAAAATTAGTATCAGGAGTGACTGACACTCCACATCATTAGGACCACAAAAGGGGTGACTAACATCAGGTGATACAAGGTCGCATAATTTGGATAAGAATCACCCAAGCGCAAGTCCCAAAATCCCTGTTTGGCTGTTAAGTTGTATTAGGCCTCCCGATGACAGCTGGGGGTCAGGTTTTAAAATAAAATTAAAAAAAAATGTATAGCATATTGGTAATAAGTGATATAAACTGACTTTCAATCCCACCAGGACACAAAACAAACAGCAAAATTACGGCAACAAGAAGAGCAACCATTTTGATCAGAATTGTCAGGGTGTAACTCCCCGAAATCCTGTTCAACCCATAAGTAATATTTAGGGTACCCAATAACAAAACATTGCGTCCCATACCATGGTGCTTGATAACAGGACTATGTGTCTTTGTGCTTTTGCTTTCAACCAGTCTAAATTGGCTGACACAATCACATTATACTGGCATGAGAAATGAGTCTTGTTTCATTTTCAATCAATCACATCTCTGCCCTTGTACCAGAGATGTAGTCAACTGGCTTTGAATTTAAAGGCTGACTGTAAATGCTTAACAGCTGTGAACCAGAGGAAAGAACAGTCACTGAGAGTGCCATGAACAGTCACTTAGAGTGCCAAGAACAGTCACTGAAAGTGCCAAGAACAGTCACTGAGAGTCAAGAACAGTCGAGAGTGCCAAGAACAGACACAGAGTGCCAAGAACAGTCACTGAGAGTGCCAAGAACAGACACAGAGTGCCAAGAACAGTCACTGAGAGTGCTAAGAACAGACACTGAGAGCCAAAAACAGTCACTGAGAGCCAAGAACAGTCACTGAGAGTGCCAAGAACAGACAATGAGAGTGCCAAGAACAGACACAGAGTGCCAAGAACAGTCACTGAGAGTGCAAAGAACAGTCACTGAGAGTGCCAAGAACAGACACTGAGAGTGCTAAGAACAGACACTGAGAGCCAAGAACAGTCACTGAGAGCCAAGAACAGTCACTGAGAGTGTCAAGAACAGTCACTGAGAGTGCCAAGAACAGTCACTAAGAGTGCCAAGAACAGTCACAGAGAGTGCCAAGAACAGTCACAGAGAGTGCCAAGAAGTCACTGAGAGTGCCAAGAACAGTCACTGAAAGTGCCATGAACAGTCACTGAGAGTGCCATGAACAGTCACTGAGTGCCATGAACAGTCACTGAGAGTGAAGTGAGTAACTTTCCCTTTTCAACTCATCCCCTTCTTAACCATTCACAATACAACTATTTTACTGATTACTTCATTTATCATTTAGCTGCTTCTGTCCTAGTACAACCACTTTCAACAGAAATAGTTAATGTCACAATTGTCTGAGACAGAATGACTTAACTCCCCAATTATGTCTTTAAAATTTACAACACACATCATTGGACTTAGAATCTGCTTGCTTCCACCCTGATTTTATCATCTCTATCAGCAGAATACATACCTGTCTGTAGCTTTTTTTAAACCAGATCTGACATTAAACAATCATTTGCCTTGATTCCTAAGGCCATGGTTGGTTAAATGGAATGTGCGTTCAAGTGTGCAGTTTTATAAAGATCCAACGAGATCACTGCAGGAGCTATGAAGTTAGTGCTTCGCGTGACGTTCTTGGTAGGCGGGTGGCCACTCTTCAGAAAGAGAGACCGAGTCATATGGGATAAATCAATAAAGGTGATCCTCTCAAGTTTAACATTAAACAGTAATCTCAATTCCAAATATCAATAACCATTGCTAGGTGTAATAGACAAAAACATTCCTATATTACATCCATGGTATTAACAAGTTACACAAGATAGAATGACAGAAAAAAAAAAAAAGCAGGCCAGCTTTACTGAAGTCAACTTTACAGAATTAATTACAATAAACAAAGGAAACTGAGCCAATTAACCTCCATCAGCAAATGATGATAAAAGATAAAACACATTTTAAAAAATATTTTAAAACTTGCAGAAGTTCCGGTAAGTATCACACAATGACCCCAAAAAGAAATCATGTAGGTATTACACACTTTGGCTATCCTCCGAACAACGGGCACAAAAGATGGCGGCCACAAACAGGGCCTCAGTCACGTGTCGATTGTGCACTTTCAGCGACCTAATTTGTGGTTTTCCGGCGACTACCGCCACCGCTGAGAGTATCCCCACACCGTTCCCGTGGCGTGTATTGGGACTAAACTAGATGGCTAGGACTCATGAGCAAAGCTACAGGAGATGCGAAAGCTGCTGCTCGTGAGTCCCAAGCCATCTAGTTTAGCCCCAATCCACGCCGCATAAGCGGCGTGGGGATACTCTCGGCGGTGGCTGTAGTCGCCGGAAAACCGCAATTGACACGTGACTGAGGTTATGTTAGGGTGTTTTTGTGCCCGTTATTCGGAGGATAGCCCACACTTTATATCATTTTATCTTGTATTATTATTATTATTTTGTTATATTTTTTTTACATGTATGTATATAATAATGTTGTTATTTTAGATTTTTTTAATTTGTGTATCGTGTTTTCTTTCTTATCATTCGGCTGATGAAGGCTAATCCACTAAATGCTCTGATTCTGTACAGCTGATTTTTACTTCTTGTTTTTCCTATATTTTTTAACTTCCTTAACTTTACTGCAGTCATCTCATCTCGCTGTACACCCACAAGATACAACTGATAAACTGCAAACCCTGATGACACACAAATGGCAAGCTGGTATAACTAGACATGGACAGAAAAATCACATACCTTAGTCACATGACTAAAGAAAAATTTGTGGGGGCCAGACGGATCCTGCATGAATATGGGAGCACTGGCAGCGAGAGCACCATCAACTATGTTCGGGTACTTGAACCTCATGTAGGCAGCTAACATGCCACCATAACTGCAATGTGCAACATTCTTGGATCACTTTCATACATTCACAGAATCTGTCTGAATGGTAAAAATCAGAGGCAAATACCTCTAACAAATAGCAAATAAGAGAAACAACTATAATTTCAAAAAGATGGTTTAAGCAGCAGGGAAGGCCAACCCGGGCATCAAATGCCTGCAGAAGTCGGATGTGTCAGCTGAAAGGCGCAAATATCACAGTCATGTTGTTGATGGACATGGCATATCTACATCTTCGGATCAATGCAGAAAGAGATTAAGTTTAAGCAGTGAGCAAACAAATTTCAAGATTTTTTCTGCTTATTTCAAATGCTTGTACTACCCATATATGTAGACAAACTGGGCAGCAAGATTTTTTTTTTTAAACTCTCAGTCCCACAGACTTTTTACTTCACTGCTGTGTGTACTCATGACAATCTTTGAGTTTGATCACAGCCACATTGTAAACCAGCATAGAGTATTTTCATCTTGGGATGAACGCACAAGAAGAAGTTTAAGAAGTGAATAAACTAACTTTGCTTTAATATTTTCTGCTAATTTCAAATGCTTACACTGACGGTATATGTAGACAGACTGGGTGGCAGTCCCAAGTTATTTGTACTTTGCGTGTTCTTATGATAGTCTCCAGAGGGGCTACGTGGATGCATGGCGTCCGCCTCAAGTGCTGGAGTCCCGGGTTCAGACTGGGATTCTTTTCACGTGGACTTTCAGTAATTTCCCCCGGTCTCTGGGTAGAGAGATCAGACGCATGTGTGTAGTGTTGCGTAAAAAAAACCTCGGCAGTTGGAAATCTAAAAGAGTAGCCTAACAAACTTTTTTACTAATAAATCAAATGCAAGTCTGAAATTACCTTCCTCCAAAAGCAATCACTTTACTATCTGTAGCATTCAACTTCTGCTTCAAGTCTGTCAGAAACACAGCGTAATCAGCCATGGCCTGTTCAACTGTCAGCAGACCCAAATATGGCTGACTGAAACTGCTATTTCCAAATGGCAATGATTTCCCATAATACCTCTGTAATGAAGAGAAAACACAGGAATTTATACTGAACTTTCAATTAGGCTTCATAAAAATTGATTAAATTAGTAGTCATTTACTGGAAATACAAAGCAGGGTGAAAGATGACAAAAAAGAAGTATAAATGATAGGACATTCATATTCTGTGTTTAACCAGGCATTATCAACTAGAGCATAGATATTCAATCATCTACACCACACACAGTACCGCTCCCCCTTTTTGTTTTGATGATCTGTAGTTCTTTTTGTCTTTCCCATATTCTAAGAGAAGAGCCTCTTTTTATTTTAGCCCCTTACCAATTCTCCTTAACTGTTTCTTATAACATTCATGGTAGGTTATGACGTTACTATTTTTTTTCTAATAACAATATGATCAGAGAAACATGATCAGAATAAATGATTACTGCAATTTAAAAAACTGTCATTATTCATGAAATGACTGACTAGAGGAATTCAGATGCTGTTGAATCCTTCAGGCATGAGAGCAGAGAAATAAATTCACTTGTGCTGATCAGTATTAATAAAAAAAGAATTTTTTTTTAAAAATACAAATAGCAGTACAAATTATAAACAGCACAAAACCACTCTGGGGTTCATAGGTGGAAAAAAACTGGTATGCTACACCAGAGTGGCTTACATATTTTAAGATTAATCTATACAAGTTAAAGGAACTGTAAAACTTACATGCTCAGGAAAGACAACATATGCTTGAAATTGGGGTGCAATTTCATGAACAAATCCTGTTGCCTCCCAGAAACCCTCTATGGAACCTTCATTGCCAGCATAAAAAAATATTGGTGCACCCTTGACCCAGTATTTGTCTGATTGGAGAGAAGTTTACCAATTAACAGCAGTGTGTGGTAAATATACAGTTTATAGAAACAAGCTATGCAATTAATATGTACAATGCTATCTTTAATCCTCACAATTTAGTTGTTAAGCCATTAGCCCCCTGGTCTGAAAGTTGTAGGCTCTCTGGGAATCATTGCTATAGCTAGGCTGGTTGTGATTTGTGCATCATTTTCAAGAGGTGGCTAGACAGATCTATTTGTGCCAGGTCATGGAGGTGTTCAAGGAAACGAGCGTGCAGACTATCTTGCTGACTATGCGGCTGCTATGGCTGAAAAAGAGTGGTCATCATCATCTAGATGGACAACACACACATACACATATGGCTGGTCCAGTACTGGACAGAAGTGATGTTATCAATGCCATGCGCTGCATTTACCGTACCGAGGAGCACACCAAAGGACATGACTCTGTTTCCCTGTCTAGACTGATGGACATGGGGGTGCAGCCTGGAGCTGCAAGAAATGATCATTTCACTAAGCTTCATTAACCAACACATAACAGGTGTCATCAGCCATTTTAGACTTGGAGAGCTGTTGAGAAGGAGATCATAGCACCTATGGATCTGTCCGGAGTGCTTTGATGATAATCCTTTTTAACCACTAATCAGAGACAGATCAAGTCGTGTGGGGTAAAACCAATTGCAATTAATTGGAAATTTGTTTAAAAACTTTGAACCTCTTTCAATCATTCATAAATATTTATTTAATGCAAGTGACCTGGTGGCCATTTTTATATGTTAATTAGGCTCCTATTGTACCATATATGTATTTGAGACATGCAATATATACAGTATATTAGGTCTCGCTGCCCCGATTCCAGCAATGTTATAGTTGCTATGGGATTTGTTCAGAAATAAAATAGTTATTGCCATAAAGTGCAAACGTTTAGTGATTTCATTCATGCCAACATTTTAAAGGGATGCAGCCTGGAATCATTATTTTGTAATAGATTCCAAAATAATTTGTCGGCACTCTTCCGAATACCGGCCCCATATTATTCAAAGACAAAAAATCCCATTCAGGGCCTCAAGAGGTCGTTGTTAGGGACCTAAGAGGTCATGTTGTTAAAAATATGGAACAGGAAATGCCTTCTTTTATTATATAAGTACGTTTGAACGAAATTACCGAGTGTTCGCTAGTACAGTTGATATGCAGTCTGCTTGTTACACCGGTGATCAGGTTGATCGGGGTTCGATTCTCCGGCGGGCCAAAAGAAAAGAAAAATATTTTTCTATTTTTTTCCTGCGCCTTTACTCGGTCTTGTGGTTAACAGCTAGGTTGCGATAGCGACGGCAAATTTTTTTTCACTTTTAAAAGGGTGGTTTAGACGTTGTTTTGTAGTTACAACAGTTGATAAGCAGTTAAAAGGGTGGTTTGCACGTTGTGTTGTGGTTACAACTAGGCTGCGATATAGGCTGCGATTGCGCCTTTCGCTCGGTCTTGTAGTTAACAGCTAGGCTGCGATAGCTCTCCGGCGGGCCAAAAGAAAAAAAAATATGTTTCTATTTTTTTCTTCAAAAGGGTGCGATATCTGTGCCTTTACTCGGTCTTGTGGTTAACAGCTAGGTTGCGATAGCGGCGGCAAATTTTTTTTTACTTTTAAAAGGGTGGTTTAGACGTTGTTTTGTAGTATTGCATGTTGTGTTGTGGTTAACAACTAGGCTGCGATATCTGCGCCTTTACTCGGTCTTGTGGTTAACAGCTAGGTTGCGATAGCGACGGCAAATTTTTTTTCACTTTTAAAAGGGTGGTTTAGAAGTTGTTTTGTAGTTACAACAGTTGATAAGCAGTTAAAAGGGTGGTTTGCACGTTGTGTTGTGGTTACAACTAGGCTGCGATTGCGCCTTTCGCTCGGTCTTGTAGTTAACAGCTAGGCTGCGATAGCGGCGGCGAAATGCTCAATGGTCATGTCACGGGCAGCTAATCTCCTTTTTTTTTTTTTTTCGCCCTTGAAATGGCGGTTGGCATAGTGTATTGTGGTTTACAAATACGCTGCTATATCTGCGCCTTTCGTGCTAGGTTGCGATATCTGCGCCTTTCGCCCCAACACATCTGATTTCAGCAGTCCTAATTAGTTGCCTTTTACAACATTCTCTTCAGCCGCACTTGTGATTACGAGTATGTTGTAACATCACTAGACATCACTAGGTAGATTACGTGTATCACATTAATGTGCGAAATTCGCTTGCTTAGACAACTGGACCCGCTATCCTGTTTAAACTCTGGACATCAAAGTTGTCGACTGGTCTGAGAATGCCCGTTACATCTCAACTCTAACCCTCGGTAATTAGCCACCTGCCCGTCCGCAAGTTCGGGTCTTTTGTCCGTTCGACTGGAAGATTGCATAATTTTTCAACGTAGATGCGTTCCCTGGTCCAGCTGTTAAGCTAACGTTAAATTCCACTGAGATAAATTGTTGGTTGGTCAGACACTTTGATCGCCGCTAGGAAGATCGCTTGGGTTTGCTGTTCAGTCACCTCATTGTTTCACTTTGTAAAGGTTTCTGTTGGACTTGTGTACTTTTGTTGTTGTTGCGTTTAGAAGGAATTCTGGACTCACCGAATGCACCTCGTCACAGCTCTTTGCGAATTTGTGCACTTGCGTAGATAATTAATTGCTTATCGGCAAAAGTTGCGAATAAAGTGGAAATATTTCTTTGATAATTTATGCAGCTACTTTTAATTATGGCAGGCAGACCATCGGCTCCAAAACAGATAAGCAATAATATTCTACAAGTTGATCAACTGGCAGCTGTAGATGTCAGACCTGATGATTTATATAGAATAATGAACGATAAACTAGTGGTTGCAATGGCTTGCTATGCACAGAATAATACGGAACTCAGTAGACTGTTCGTCTTGCAACCGTCGGATGTCATTAGTGTCAAGGCTAGAATGTTCCGATAGATTCTCTTGGCGATGTCGTCGCTGTAATACTCGTTGCAGTGTACGGACGGGTTCGTTCTTCGCTAATTGTGAACTCCCAACTGAAAGAATTGTGATGGTAATGTTTTACTGGTTGTTCGAAGTCAAGCAAAAAAAATGTGATGTTTTTTGAGAGATTGACAAGCTGTGATACAGTAGTCAACTATAACAATTATTTTCGGGTAGAGTGTTACAACTGGCTGCTGCTTAGCAACCCTCAGTTGGGAGGATTTGATGCTAACGGACAGTCAGTGGTTGTTGAAGTTGACGAAAGCTATTTTTTCCACCGCAAGTACCATCGTGGTTACTTTCGTCGTGGTCAATGGGTAGTTGGGCTAGTTGAACGTGGTAGTGGCCGTTGCTGGTTGGAAGTTGTTAATAGGCGAGATGCGACAACATTGGAACGCATCATAAGTGAGCATGTGTTACCAGGAACGACAATTGTCACCGATGCCTGGCGAGGCTACAACAACGTTGGTCAACTCAACAATGGCATATATGAACATCTCGTTGTTGTTCATGCTATTAATTTTGTTGACCGTGTACACGGAGACATCCACACCCAAACAATTGAAGGGCTGTGGATGCAAGTCAAAAGGAAACAGCGTTTCCAAGGCGGCACTAGTCGTGCATTGTTTAATACATATTTAGCCGAATTTCAGTGGCGCCACAGTCACAAAGAACATGTTTTTGGACAGTATTTACAGCTGTTGTGCCACAATTTCGACATATAACTGTCAAATATTATTGGCAGAGTTGCCACTTTTCTTTGACGGAAAGTGTATTGCATTTTGTTTTCTGCATTTCCTTCTTTTCGTCTGTCATTTCATTTTCTCAGTGACCGCACTAGCAGGTGGTACACACTTCATTGATACTGAACATCCTCTTGTGTTTAGATAAGTTGTAGCCAAGTATATCTTCTCTGCTATGTCGTTTCTACTACACATCTTGATATTTTTAAATCCATCAAAGTAGATATGATATTGTTGCAGGTATAACGCAGCGCTCTCTTTAATATACATCAAATGCATTAGATATTTAGAGAAACAGGCCGACAGTTTTTATTCCTTCTGAAATCCTGATTTGGCTTCTTGTAATTTAATAATCTGATTGAATTTGCTTTGTGTATTATATATATATATATATATATATATATATATATATATATATATATATATATATATATATATATATATATATATATATATATATATATATATATATATATATATATATATATATATATATATTGTGTGTATCTTATGTATCTTTTTTTAAAAAAATTCCACTGTGTGGAGGGAGAAAAGGAGCGGGGGTGGGGGGTTAGGGGTAGGGTTAGGGGTAGGATTAGATGTTAAAATTTTGACGTAGGGTTTCGAAATAGTGGCCGACAATCTGATGTTTGTGGGCGTGGCGCCACTGAAATTCTGCTAAATATGACGCCAATAGTGTGCGGCTGATGCCCAATCGTTGGCGAATGGTGCGTTTCACCAGCATCCAGAGGCCCTCAATTGTTTGTGTGTGTATGTGACTGTGTACGGCGTCGACGAAGTTGGTCTGGTGGACTACTACCTCGTGCAGATAGATGCCATGCCGTAAGTTTGCCACGTTGCTGTAGCCTCGCCAAGCGTCAGTCACGATGGTCGTTCCCGTATCGTATCGTATCGTAATCTTTTATAATCCATTCCAATGTCGCCGCATCTCGTTTTCGCACAAGCTCCAAGTAGCAACGGCCAGTCTCACGCTCTACTAGCCCGACGATCCAACGACCGTGACGGATGCGACCGCGCTGATACTTTCGTCGGAAGAAGTAGCTCTCGTCTACTTCGACCACGATAGATCTGCCGGTCTCATCGAGTCCTCCCAGCTCCACGGTGTGTCTCAACATCCAATTATAGCATTCCTGACGGAAATAATTGTTGTAGTTGACAATGGTGTGCCAGTTCGTGAGTCTCTCGAGGACCATGACAGTCGCTGAACTTACGCCGGAGAGCCAGTAGTACATCATCATGAGTATTTTCTCGGTCGACATGTCGCTGTTGGCGAAAAACGACCCAGTGCGAACACTACACCTAGTATTACAGCGATAACATCGCCAACCGTATCTGTCGCTACAGTCTTGCCGGGGACATAGGAACATTGGCCGCGTGCATGAGGTACACGGTTGCGTGTTCCTTATCAGTTAGCCACCGCAACCACGCATACTTATGTCATTATGGCATACAGGAGTTACGTCCGTGGCAACTAAGTCGTGCGTCGGAATAACGATGTTAGTTATGTGAGTGCGTCTAACTGCCATGTTGCTTCTTGTGTCGTTTGTTTCGTTGTGGCTTTTCCGATCACTGTTTGGAGGGCGGCCACGCTAGAGAACTCTCAGTCGTCCAAGGCTGTTTATTCTTCGTCCGGATTTGCCAGTAGAGCCGAAGTGAAGACTGATGATGATGATCTTAACGTTGCTACCCAGCCACACGGCGCTCCGATGGATCGAAAATTATTCCTCCCCACGTCACTTCAGCGCTCCGATGGATCAAAAATTATTCCTCCCCACGTCACTTCAGTCGATCGAAAACTATTTCTTTCCGATGGATCGAAAATTATTCCTCCCCACGTCACTTCAGTCGATCGAAAACTATTTCTCCCCACGGTGCTAAACTTCAAACATTGCGCAGAAGTGAAAAACTGATGATGATGGCTTCAATTATTATTTCACGGCGCTTAACGGCAGAAGTAAAGACTGATGATGATGATCTTAACGTTGCTACCCATCGACACAGCGCTCCGATGGATCGAAAATTTTTCCTCCCCACGTCACTTCAGCGCTCCGATGGATCAAAAATTATTCCTCCCCACGTCACTTCAGTCGATCGAAAACTATTTCTCTCCGATGGATCGAAAATTATTCCTCCCCACGTCACTTCAGTCGATCGAAAACTATTTCTCCCCACGGTGCTAAACTTCAAACATTGCCCAGAAGTGAAAAACTGATGATGATGGCTTCAATTATTATTTCACGGCGCTTAACGGCAGAAGTAAAGACTGATGATGATGATCTTAACGTTGCTACCCATCGACACAGCGCTCCGATAGATCGAAAATTTTTCCTCCCCACGTCACTTCAGCGCTCCGATGGATCAAAAATTATTCCTCCCCACGTCACTTCAGTCGATCGAAAACTATTTCTCTCCGATGGATCGAAAATTATTCCTCCCCACGTCACTTCAGTCGATCGAAAACTATTTCTCCCCACGGTGCTAAACTTCAAACATTGCACAGAAGTGAAAAACTGATGATGATGGCTTCAATTATTATTTCACGGCGCTTAACGGCAGAAGTAAAGACTGATGATGATGATCTTAACGTTGCTACCCATCGACACAGCGCTCCGATGGATCGAAAATTTTTCCTCCCCACGTCACTTCAGTGCAGCGAAAACTATTTCTTAACGGCAGAAGTGAAGACTGATGATGATGATCTTAACGTTGCTACCCATCGACACAGCGCTCCGATGGATCGAAAATTTTTCCTCCCCACGTCACTTCAGTGCAGCGAAAACTATTTCTTAACGGCAGAAGTGAAGACTGATGATGATGATCTTAACGTTGCTACCCATCGACACAGCGCTCCGATGGATCGAAAATTTTTCCTCCCCACGTCACTTCACAGCGCTACTTCACAGCGCTTAACGCGCAGATGTGGAAACTGATGATGATGGCCTCAATTATTTCACGGCATTATTGGTACGTATTGTTCCAAATTGTTCCATATTTTGTTGTTCCATATTTTGTATAACACGTCACTTCAGCGCTCCGATGGATCGAAAATTATTCCTCCCCATGTCACTTCAGTCGATCGAAAACTATTTCTCACAACGCTTAACGCGCAGATGTGGAAACTGATGATGATCTACGTATTGTACCATTTTTTGTTGTACCATATTTTGTATAACTCCTTTATAACCCCTTGACCTCTTTGTAACCTCTTGAACCCTTTGAGGCTCTAACAGGAATGTTTTGGACAGCAAATAATATGGGGCCGGTATTCGGAAGAGTGCCAATTTGTCTATGGTGGTAATGGTAATGGTATCTGCCACTAAAATCAAATGTTAATATATCAGCTCAGAATTGACTTACAGGCTTCACTAGGGGTATTGCTGGATTTGTAATTTTAATCTCTATCTAATAGATAAAACTTCACTATCATCAACCCTACTAGTACTATATAACTACTAGTATAGTCTATATTTACTTATATAATAATTATTAATATCTTATTCTTATATTTAAATTTTTAAAAATACCTTGATACAGATATCGATGCTTGAAAGTCTTGTCTCCATAAGACAAAAAATTGAAGTGGTCAACATACTGATCAACATAAGCCTCCTTGTAAGGATAATCAGCCAGGGAAACCCCAACTGTGCAGAGCACAACACAACCGATCATCAAGGTGCCAGCCATCTCTAACAACTCCGAACACATGATCACTCACATGACTTCCTTGCTCACGTGACTGGACAGACCATAGTAAAATCACGTGATGGTTGAGCTGTCAATTGAAGTGCCTTATCTAGGCATTTCTTCTCGTGTGGAAGGCGACTATAATGCGTTTTAAAACTCACGCTCTCACACTTTAACAAATATCTGGAAAACTCGTGTATGGATCAACACGAATGTTTGCATTTCGCCTTAGAATTCCGGTCCTTATGATTTTATAATTTACAATTGCACAAATGCTGACGTTTTCCTAAAGCGGCTAATTTCTTTGATCTTTGACTACTAATTTATATACCCCTAATAAACAGAATATTCAGTTACTGGCACATGTGTGGAGATTGTTTGGAAAAAAATTTACATCTCTATCCCGCATACAAGGACAAATCTGTAACTCACGGGGGAGGGGGCGGGGAACAATGCTGGATTGATCGAATGAGAGCGAAACGCCCACAAGACGCGTGCAGTCTGATGTTTTGAAAAATTCCCGGTTCTCGGTTAATTGTAAGCACGCTGATTATTTGCCTTGATATTTTTTATATATATATACCGCATTGAGAGTAAAAGGTCTAGGAAACGCGTGAAATTGATGTTTTGAAATGTTCCCGTTACTTAGTAAACTATAAGCTTGATGGCTGTTTGCATTGAATCGGTGTATGTCTTTTTTTTTTTTTTTTTTGTACCGCAAATAAAGCAAAATGAAAAGTAGATGTTGGTATGCATAATAAAAATCTGAGTAGATGTTCGTTTATATTTTTAAAAAAAATCTCATAATGACATGATTCATGACAGGTTGCATGCCGAATTTCAACTTACGGTAAACAGTTACTGAGTGAGATTTTTTTTTCAGCAGCAGTAGTAGTAGCAGCGGTAGTAGCAGCAGCAGTATTTAAGAATTCTTCTGTAAAACCAAATCTCCGAGGTCTCAAAAAATGGTTTGTCCATAATTCACAGTCTGGATTTTTTCACCGGGGCACCCCGGTATGTTGGAAAATGAACAGATGGACAGACTGGCCGGCTCTGCACAATTTGGTGGAATACTGATGCATGATAAGGCAGGCAGACGTGGTTAGTGCCTTGTGGGAGAGCGTGTACAGTTCGGAGGAGCAGATGGATCACCACAGTCTGGTGAGATTGATACAGCGGGGTGTGACGAGAGGTTCTGGCAGATGCTCGAGGCTCAGACGAAAGGCAAGAGGGACGTTTAATCAGAATGCTACTCTGGCACCATTAGTATCCGAACTCTACACTGGCTGCTGAAGAAGGGGACAGAGCGCTCATGTGAATGCCCCGAGTGCTGTGATGTCGGTTCTTTAATAAACTCAAATCATCATCGCAGTCATAGGTTAAAACCGGTTCTGTGCATCTAAGTTATCGAGATTATCACACACACAAAAAGGACAACTATACAGTCAAAAATTTCTTGTCTGCCACTGTTTCTTTCCAGAAATTGTTGAAAGTGTCTAAAAATATTACTAACACGACATCAACTAACATTGGCACATGTCAGTCAGATAATTTTAACAACAGTCATGTATGTGAGGGGAGCCGCTGTAGTCCAGCGGCTAGACGCTTGCCTGTGGATTGGAAGTTCGTGGGTTCAAATCCTGAAGGGGGTCGGGCATTTTTTTCAAAAATGACCTTGGCTCCCAGGTCGACCCAGCCTTGAGTGGGTACTGGGTACAGTCCTGGGAAGTAAATATTGTTGGCGTGGTGCTGACCACATCACCCACCAAATACGGTTTGGTCTATCAAATATAGGTCTAGTCCTTTATACCCAATACGCCCGAAAGGCGTGGAAAGGGTCCGTTACTTTACATATTGTTGAGTTTGTAACCCCCCTCCCCCTCTCTTTTTCCGTTGTATTTTTACTCACATGAATCCTTATTTTATAAAAACTTATTTTTGCCATATTGTCACTCTTCACATCTTTCTTTCTTTTTTAAAACATGTGTTGTTGTTGCCATTTTGCCACCCGATAGACATGGCCACAACGAAGACAACTATTTTTTTGGGTGCCTAGTGGGTCATGTTCTTAGTAGATTTGTTTCCACAGCAAAACGAACACGCCATTTGGAGGTGACAGGTTCGATTCCCGGCATGATAACTGTAGCTTTTAATTGTTGGCTATGTCCTTCTATGAGTGCTTATCAATCCACTGTCTGTTTACTTATTAAATATATATATATATATATATATATATATATATATATATATATATATATATATATATATATATATAATGCCAAGGTAAGTAAATCCAGGTAGGTGGACGAGGATTAGAGGATAAAAAAACATAAGGCACATTAAACAGAAATATCGCAGATAAAGACTGGTTGTTTTTAATCGTAGCAAGCTGTTACCACTGGTAACCATTGTAATTCGACCTATGCTTAGTAATATAAATTTCTGTAACTTATGGTACCCTTTTAATGGTTTAAAATGAATTCTGTCCGTATTCTGTAGTTGTGGATTTCAAGCTGTACGATATACATGGCCAATAAGATCCAAATTTAGGGGTTCCTAGTTGACTATGTTCTCAGTGGACTTGTTTTCATAGCGAGGTGCACACGCCGTCTGGAGGTGAGAGGTTCGATTCCCGGCACGGTAACTATAGCTTTCGATTTTTATGTTGTCTAGTGTGTTCTTCTATCTTTCTATGAGTGCCGATCAATACATTTTCTGTTACTTTATTAATACTGTGATTACCTGAATCTTCTTCTTAAAGTCCATGCCGTGTGGCGTTAGTAGTCATGTCTATCCACTCTCTTCGGTCCTGTGTACTTTTAATCAACTCTGACACAGATGATGTTCCATGCATGTTGTCAAACTGTTCAGCATCTGTTCTCCCTCCGCCTTCAGCTTTCCTACTGTCACGATGTACTCCAGTTTTCTCCTTCTCATCACATGACCAAAGAATGTAGATTGTCAGTTTCTTTCAGTATGACTTCAGTACTCTTTTTATCTGTCCACGATATTCTCATCATTCTTTTATAAAACCACATCTCTGTAGCTTCCAGATAAGTTTTCACTAATTTACTAGCTGTCCATGATTCACATCTGTATATCAATATAGGATTTATTTAACTTTTAACAATTCTCTTTCTCGTCCAAATTGACAAAGAAAGGTTGCATAAAATATTCTTCATTTTGTAAAATGCTGCCTTTGCTTGAGCTATTCGACATTTAACTTCCTTAATACGTCTTCCATCTGATGTTATCAGGGTACTCAAGTACTTAAACATATCAACTTGCTGGAAGTTTGTCCCATTTACTTTGCTGTTGCATTTTGGAGGGTCAGTTTTCTTTGTAATTACCACTACTTCTGTAATTACCTGATTACCATTACCTGATTTAGATTATGAATAAGGCGATTTTCTCAACAACAACAAAACGCCTGGTTGATCACCAGAGCAAGATTTTATGGCAGTGACAGATATATCCTTTTTGCCTCTGTGATCAGAGCTATTGAAATGAAATTGGCTTAAGTTTCTTCCTTTCAATATCAGAGAAATGTCACCTATTATGGCCCACTCTCTCTCTGCATAACAGCTAGCCGTTATGCTAAGAGTCTCACACAAAGCAGGAACTCCAAAGCTCCTGCAAGGATGATCCTCAGGGATTGCTTCCCAACAGCACTCCATTTTTTTTTAAAACTGACACACTGTGGTGACCACTAGAACTTTTGTTAGTTTTAAATAGACACTTTATCGTGAGTACTGGCAGTTTTTTTTTTTTTTTAACTGGCACTTTATGGTAAGTTAAAAAGTTTGCTGCATACCTTTCACGAACATTTTTTTGGCTGCTGTGGTTTTTTATTGGCAAATGTTATGTTCAGTACTGCTATCAAAACCAATGCAAGACAAACTCCGCAGCTGGGATCGAATCTAGTACCCCGGTATTATGAAGCACGTTCACAACACTTATGCCACAGACACCGCCTTGTGACGAGTACTGACACCTCTTCTACTAAAGAGAAGCCCTGGTTAACATCATGAGTACCCCACTGTACTGCAATAGGTCACCAAGGGTTTGCAATGTATTCTTTTACTCTGTTCTATCATGTTCAATTATTTTTCAACTCATGGATGGAATCCCATCCAGCACCTTTGGCCTCTCTCATCAACGTTCGTCTTAGGGCTTCTTTTGAGCGTCAATGTCTCTCCAGTCCATTTGTTTCTCATGTAATTACCATGTAGCCTTAAATCACTATGCTCAAGGGACCCTCCCTCTCTACACTAAAACACGGCAAATGCAGGCAGTAACATAACGGCAATTTTTTTTTTAGTATCTGTTTGTTAATTCACTGTTTGCTTCTCCTCAGGAATAAGTTACAAATTAGATAGAATAAACTAATATAAAAGAAGAATTACACCACACACACAAAAAACATGTACCTTCCACGAATAAACATATAATAAGTTGTTTTCAGTAAGAGAGTTAAGTTAGAAATATAACAAGTAAATTTAGAATTTATTTAACACAGAATTTAAATCAATAGAGGCAATTTTTACACACCAATATAATTACAAAATTTACAAAACAGTAGCTACCACAATACTGGCAAAGCTCTTGTTGTTACTGGGACACACAAGTCCCCATACCACTGTAAGATGAACATAATTTTGTCAACAGGTTTCAAACTGTCAATTTTTATGAAGCTATTCAACTTTAATGACTTTGCTCTTTCAATATCAGACAGTGTTTTACCAATAAATATGGGGTGCAACTGCCGTTTTACACCCTGTTTCTTGCTTTGATTTTGTAAATCCCTTCTTGTTATCTACTTGTGTCAGCATCTACCTCTTGCGGTCTTCATGTTTCCTTTCAGTAATGTTTTTTTTTTTATAATTGTCAAGTTTTTTAGTGTGGTAAAATTAGAACAATATTTTCAATGTCATTTACATTTTTTAATCAAACTGGTGATCTAAGTCATTCATAGTTCTCTTTATTTTTGATAGACACAAAAACATATTTTGCTGCCTTTTGGCATTTTCTAATATTTGGTTGTCAAATGTTACCGAAACTGATTCTTCAGAGACGTCATCACCTGAGTCCAGACTCTAATGTGTTTCTAAGACACCATCTGCAGTTAGTGTTGTGTTACTGAATTCCATGTATGGAAGGAGAAAGGTCATAGATTCATACAGTGGCCATTTCTTTTTCTTCGCCGACCATTCTTCTATCAACAGTTATCCATCAGAAAATATAGCGCTATACTGAAACAATTTTGAGAAAAGATGAGCACGGAAATAGGAAAGAGAGGAGCTGAGGAAACCCTGAGGTGAACGTTGATAAGAGAAGACAAAGGTGCTGGATTGAATTCCATCCATGATATTGTGGTGATTGCACATTGTAGAATGGAATGGAGAAAGAAAGCTCAAGAGAACAATGAATATAATTTAATCCACTTTTTCACCACATTTGCCAGCATGTGCTGTATTTGTTTATTCAACAAATCAACATCATGGCACATGGGTGCAACCCACAAGTACTCTGTTCTACTTCTAACTCAAACCTGAGTCTGAAGAATCTCAGTGCAGTGCGTAAACTTCGTTGCATCGGCGAGGATCCTAAAATATTTTGGGTAGATTTTTAACTCCAAATTTTGCCCGGGTAGTGCCATTAGTCTTCTCTTTTCGATTTCCAACTGCCAAGGTATTTTTTACGTGTGCAACAATACACACGGGCACCCAATCTTACTACCCAGAGACTAGGGGAAATTACTAAAAGTCCTAGTAAAAAAAAATCACAGCCTTCACCAGGGCTTGAAACCAGGACCTCCAGCACTCAATGCCGACACCATACCTCGAGACCACTCAGCCTCCTAGAAGTCTTCTACGTGTGATTTTAAATGTGCACAACATAATATCTCAAATGATGACTGTAAAACTCAAACATGACAGTTTTGTACTTCTAACATCAGCAGGTCTAAAAGGTATGTCCAGATGTACTTTTGGTCAAGTCAGGGACCAAACACAAGAATCATGGTAAAGTATCAACACTTTGACTTGGCATGTCCTGTACATGAGCCTTTTTGATGTACTTTATCAATAAACCTTGAACTTCATGTCGAAATTCCATGGCCGCAAGTGAGTCCAAAGTTCTCATCATTGGTAGCAGACTTTTCAGAAAATGTTCATGATCGTCTTCTTCATGATGCTGTCCGTTAGGAGCACTGAAGAACTGGTGATCTAAGTCATTCACAGTTCTCTTTCTTTTTGATTGACACAAAAACATATTTTGTTGCCTTCTGGCACTTTCTAATATTTGGTTGTCAAATGTTACCGAAACTGATTCTTCAGAGACGTCATCACCTGAGTCCAGACTCTGATGTGTTTCTAAGACACCATCTGCAGTTAGTGTTGTGTTACTGAATTCCATGTATGGAAGGAGAAAGGTCATAGATTCATACAGTGGCCATTTCTTTTTCTTCGCTGACCATTCTTCTGGTTTCAAGGTCTCAAAATTTTTCTGCTGTCTTCGGAAGTAGTCCCGCAAGCACGTCCACCGTTTCTTGACCACATCAACTGCAAACATAGGCAAGCTATCATTATGCCTACTGTAACTTCAGACTATATATATATATATATATATATATATATATATATATATATATATATATATATATATATATATATATATATATATATATAATATATATATATATATATACGCACACACACACATATATAACATTAAAAGCACATGTTCAACTAATGCTAAAAATCATGGATTACAGTTATCATTTTTTTAGACCCTGAAGAATTGATAGAAAAAATTTACAGACTAAAACATACACCTTATGCTTATACTGTGTAGTGCTAGATGTCAAAGAAAACAACAGATGAGACAGTTCAGCTGCAAACCAATGGTATACCTCAACACGTAATGTACAGACCAACTGGAAATAAAACGAGCTGTGACCATGTAAACAAAGGACTTAGGGAATATGAGAATGACCTGGAGCTCCCATATACAAATCAAACAAATGGGCCCTTTGCTGTTATGTATGCCCCATCTCAGCACCACAAGGTTCAAGAGTAACATGATTAGATTAGGAGATGAGGAGATAAATATCTCCACTTGTGGGTTCCTGGGCTACATTTTGGCGAACAACGAATAGATCCACCAATGTGTCATGGGAGACAACTAATTCGGGGTGTTTCCTTCAAAGTCGGAAAGCACCTGCCTGAGGGCCTAGGAACTAACAGTCTGCAAAAAATACACCTAATATGTAAAACAGATTTGCATGCAAAATTCAAGTTCTCGATTAAGACCAAAGTTCAAGAGTGGACAAACAACCAGAAATTTTCTATTGGAGTTTACAACCAGCGAATTCTAAGTAGAAGAAAAAGATGATGGTACACAAAATATTGGTACACAATTAATTTCTTCAGATGTCATAATAATATACAGGCAATCATGTTCTCTCACAATTCCCACACACACAAAGTGTATATATGTGTAGAAAAGTCAAGGGTCTTCTGTCATGCATTGGCATGTAATGGGAATATGAACATATTTGACCATAACTTATAGAATATTTTCTGCTACCACTTTTAGGGTGAGACAACATGGGAGACCTGGTAACTGTTTTTTAAGTTTTAATTACCTGATATATGTGTATTTTAAGTAAAACTAACAATGTAATCAACATCATCACTACCATCATTAAGTACCTTGGCAAATGGCATGGACCATCAAACTTCAGCTTTCGATTTCCAAGAGGATGTATCAGTTTGTATGCTGACATTTTCCCATGTCATCACAAAAAGCTATTAAGAATATTCTTTCGTCGTTCTCTCCTATCATTCCTTCTATGAAATTTTCCATTATTTTCCTTCTAATAAGTTGACAACAAATTATGATGCCCCTTTCTGATTTTGATGTTGAGTTGTTTGCTTGGCCTAGACTTTTTCATGACATATAGAATACCTATTTTGGTTGTTTATAGACCCCCCCCCCGCATTCTTTTTGGGGGAAGTATTTGTAAACCTTTATATTTTTGTTCTATACATATAAGATGTACATGTAGTGAGTGTGACCCTGGTGTGTTCTGTGTTTAAAATTAAGCTTTCTTTTAGCACAACAAAAATTATGTTTTAGAAAAGGTGTGCATACAATGTATGCCCAGGAAAAAAAGTTGTCTTCATCTAAACACAAGCATGTGTCACACATGCATAGTACAGTATATACCTGTGTGTGCGTGTGTGTGCGTCCACACGTACAAAACTGTTACAGCTACAACTTAGAAAGCTAAACTGCAAGGAACTATAATAACAGTCTGCAGACACATAATCCAGATCTGTAAAAGGATGTGTAGCAACACTCAGGTTCTGGAATAAGACTAAAGTCCAGAGGTGGATGAACCAAAACTTTCTGCCAGAGTTTGCAGCTGGTGAATGTGAAGAAGGTGTATAGTATACCGAGAAGCTGGAAAAAAGGTTAGTTATGTGTCCTTGAGAGAACACTGCAAAACTAAGCCCCAGCATTTGTGGGCTGTTTGTGATATCAGTACTTTATTTTTAATTCACCCTAATCCAGTTTCATATATTATAATGTATGTAAAAATTGGATGTGGCTTAGGCGTTGCAGATGTGCTTCGTAATACCAGGGTGCCAGATTCGATCCCAGCGTCAGGCTATTTGGCAGCTGACCGCCTTGCGCTGGTTTCATCAGTGGCATCCTGAGCTGATCGCCCATTTAGTAGGCACTACAGTTTTGGAAATTTGCGATCTTTTCGGCAATTTCCGTTACCCGGAAACCGTTCGCAACTTGTTTCGGGAAATCTCGGCTGGTTTTCGGATGGGTCCAAATCTCTCATGAAATTTTGCCATTGGTGGGAATTTGGACCAGCTATAAATAGCTGAAAACAGCAGGAGGGAACCCCATTAACAGCGCATGTCTACGACAGCCAGACGTCGTCTGTTTTTCTGTTAGTCATCAGTTTGATTGAAAATAGCGGTAAATTCGAGGTTGGCTTTAGGCTCTAACTGTTACTCGTCCTGGTAATGCTAGTTATAATTGAATTCTCCGTCCAATGTTACATATGTGTATAAAATTTCTTTCTGAACGGTGGCTAGGTAGATGTACAGTGACATTTTTCAGGCAATCGCTGGCTCAGCCAGTGGCTGTGTCTCATTGCCTGCCATCTTGTCCAATGACAGTCCAATGTAAACAAAGCCGATACAGAACTGCGCAGTCAAAAAACTTCTTGTTTCTGGGTCACAAGTTTTAGCGGCTGTTTCTTACATCTCATCTCCACAAAAACCTACATATCTCAGCTCAGAAATGACATACAAGCCTAAATGAGGTACCATTGGAAAGAAATTGTTTACAGCTATCTAACTGTGCTGGTTTTATTGGTGTAGAGGGCATTTTAAAAATTTGGTACTCCTGTCAAATCCGGACGAAGAATAAAAAGCCTTGGACGACTTAGTCAGAGTTCTCTCCCTTCGCCGCACTGCAAACAGTGATCGGAAAAGCCACAACGAAACAAACGACACAAGCAACATGGCAGTTAGACGCACTCACATAACTAACATCGTTCTTCCGACGCACGACTTAGTTGCCACGGACGTAACTCCTGCAGACCTGTATGCCATAATGACAGATAAGTATGCGTGGTTGCGGTGGCTAGCTGTCACATACACACACAAACAATTGAGGGCCTCTGGATGCTGGTGAAACGCACCATTCGCCAACGATTGGGCACCAGCCGCACACTATTGGCGTCATATTTAGCAGAATTCCAGTGGCGCCACGCCCACAAACATCAGATTGTCGGCCACTATTTCCAAACCCTACGTCAAAATTTTAACATCTAACCCTAACCCTACCCCTAACCCTACCCTTAACCCTAACTCTAACCCTACCCCTAACTCTAACCCAACACCCGCATGATGATGATTACACAACCATTCACAATGCCTCACGAAACCGTACGCAGCCTTACACGCAACCGCAGGATGATAGGTAAGTGTGTCGTTTATTTCGTTTGTTTTCCGATCACTGTTCGGAGTGCGTCCAAGGGAGAGAACTCTGACTAACTCGTCCACGGCTGTTTATTCTTCGTCCGGATTTGACAGGAGAGCCAAAAATTTTACTGAAGTAGCTACATTTAGTCTATGGCAAACTCACTGGACGTACATTTTAATAGAAAAAAAAAACAACAGCTACAAATGCTGGGGTTGGTTCTGTACCGCCCTGTAAAGCCTATGCTATGCAGCTAACTAACTATATATAATTATATAATAAATGATAAATGTTCAAACTTGGTTCCTTCAGATCTGCGGCCACTTCCGTCCAAGCCTTTTGGGTGGACTCTCTACTGCCGTACATGGGGTCCGATTTGTCGTAAAGTAGGCTGGCTTTCTGTACACTCTGAATCAGCTGTTCGTCCTCCATCTGCCCGTGTATCTTCTGATCGACAAGTAGTCGAAGACCAAATTACAAAAGAAAAAGTTACAAATAAAATTAGAGATCATCTACTCCCTCTTCTATCTACCGGAAGTTTAAAAGATTGCGTTCCGTTCCGGTGCAGTTCGGGAATCTTCGTTGAGCCCAGGCGTTGTCAAAGTTGCCATAGCAACGAAATATCATTACCCTGAAGCACCTTGTCTACAGGGGGCTGCCGTGGTGTAGCGACTAGACGCTCGCCTGTGGTTCGGAAGGTCGTGTTTTCGGGTCCAGGCAGAACTTAGACTTTTTTCAAAACTAACCTTGGCTTCCAGGTCAACCCAGCATTGAATGGGTACTTGGTACATTATTGGGATGCAAAGGCGGTCGGCGAGATGCTGACCACATTACCCACGGAGTGCCGACTAGTCTTTAGGTCTAAGCCTGTATGCTTGATACGCCCGAAGGCGTGGAAAAGGGGTCCTTTTTACCTTGTCTACTGCCGCAGTGTAGCGGCTAGACGTTTAACTACGGTTCTGAAGGTCGTGGGTGACAGGGAGCAAGATTTTATTTTCTCAAACATAACCCTGTGTTTCTCATGTAGAGTGACCATAAATCCCATTTTCGCCTGGACAGTCCCGTCTTTTTCGGTGTTTCCCGGCCGTCCGTTAGTATTTCAGAATAAAGTCATTTGTCCTGTTTTATAAAAATCTAGGAATAAGCTCGCAAACAGAGCTTATCACTTCTAATTATATATGTAGACTGTATTAGATTTCATAGTTTTTAGACTTTAAAATTCCTGTGTTCTTTAAATGTATTATTTCCTTACCGACTAATAATTAATAATAATAATAATCATTATAATAGGACAAAATTCTAGAATGTGGGCTAACCTTACTTGCTTGGGATATCCTCTTTCCTTATCCTCTTTAGTTATCGTATGAATTATGTTTGCGTTGCGTTGTTCTTAACACTTTTGTTTTGTTTCATTAACCGTCATTGTGGCTCCCAAGAAAGTAAGAAAATGTTAATAATAGTGGTATAAAGAAGCCTTAGCTTATAACAGTAGAAACGAACAAGGAAAATCTAATATGAGAAAGGTGTTTGTGTTTCTGATCTCGCCAAAAAGTACGACCTGGGTCAATATATAATCTGTACTATCTTAATGTACACGGTTGCGCTAAAGACGGCTGCTTTAGCTAAAGGAGTGACTATGTTCACGAAGCAAAGGGGCGATCATGTCTCTCCGCAAACTGCGATCCGCAACTACGTGTATTAGTTCGTGTACTGACACCCCTCCATGCCATAGCACAGACTGTCAAGAATCTTCTCATGCTGTCTTATATATATATATATATATATATATATATATATATATATATATATATATATATATATATATATATATATATATGACGCAGCTATTATGAGCGATTGCATAATTTTTTTTCTAATGACCAATACACAAACAACTAGAAATGTGTGATGAAATCGCATCTATGATTACATAATTCGTGTTTGTATAAATGACTTTCTAAACAATTTTCCTATAAGTTGTTCATTTGTCTTTATCAAAAGTATCGTAGTTTTAAATGCATAGAATATATATGAACCGCACTAAAAATTTATGTTTTACATGTGGTGAGGTGATATTTCAATCACTGAAACGAAATATAACCAAAGTAATTTAGAAGACGTACCGTTTGTATTTTAGCTGCAGAACAGGAGATCAAGACCAGAGATGGCCGCCACACTTATGCTGCAATACTTGAGCAGCACATTTTAATCTAGTTGTCTGACAAACGACAAGCTATGCCCTTTGCAGTCACAATGATTTGGAGAGAGTCCACTGATTACCGCAACGTCTGTTTCTTTTGCATGGCCCCTCCAGTTGGGAAAGGCATATCAAAGAAGAATAAAATGGGCTCTGGAATATCCAAACATCCCTTCTTCAGTAGGGCGATGATCTTCCAGTTCTCAAAGAGCCAGAATCAGTTTCAGCTGCTTCCACTGATAAACAAGAAGACATTAGTAGTCCCAAACCATCAGCCTCAGGTGACCCGGACTTTGAGCAAACTACATCGACTAAATCACACGTGGAAAACCCGAAGTGAGCAGAATGATTTTTTTTAAAGAGATCTGCCTTTACCAAAAAACAAGGTATACCTTTTGGGTTCCAGATTGAAATATTGGACTCTCATGTTAGAATATGTTAGAATTTATGTGTTTAGGAACCGCCAGAAGCCGCTTATTATATTATTTTTTTTTTCGAAGATGGTGACCTTTCTGCATCAAATACATTTCTACTTCAATAGAAACCCTCAAAATCAATTACAAACGGAAGAGTGGAGGATTTTCATTGATTCATTTAAGACGAGTCTTAACTAACTGTTTTGTTGAATTGTAATGCATTACCGTCACTTCCAATTGGTCATGAAGTCATAGGAAAGAAACTTATTAAAACATTAAGCACCTGTTGAAGTGTATAAACTACAATCATTACCACTGAACACTTTGCGGGGACTTAAAAGTGGTCACTCTTTTCTTGGACAGGCAGACGCATCAAATACTGTGTTTTTTCTGCAAGCAGATAGCCGTACATGATGTGATAGAAGCCAGGCAGTAAGAACTTTTATTATATTTTATTGGTCATTTAGAAAACGTATATGCAATCACCAACAACAGGGGCGCCATATATATAAATTGATCGTAATTCAATAAATAGCTTATATCTGGAAAACTAGAGTCAATCAACATGTTTTAGTGTAATTTTCTTTTTCAGCACACCAAATTTAGCTAAAAGCAGTTATTTTCATTTCTGGTACAAATAAATTTTGAAAATGTGTTTGCTAGTGATAACTGATGTTATTTATCACATTACTGAGATATGGCAATAAAGACCCTACATTCAAAAGAATGGAGTTGTTTCAAGACATTTATTATATATGCAGGACTAAAATGACGTGAAAAGTATACCATTAGCAAGAGAGAACATCATCATTACTACCACTATCGACACGACCATCTTCTTTGTCCCTACTCTCCCCAATGGCTTTTCCGGGAAGCCAACAAAAGACGAACTTGGGTGTGACAAAAGCATACATAAAGAAGAGACATGTGCTGCGCAAAAGTGGTATTTGAATTAATAATAATAATACCAGAGAGCTGTTAGTTACGATGTTATCAGCACATTTCTTTGATATCCACACTTAAATCTTGCAGTACAGACACTGATATAAAATTAAAATTAAATCCTCCTTTTTTAATTTTAATTTTACTGTTTGACTCTTTCCCCGGGAAATAGCAAAATAGACAATAGAAGGGGACACATATAAATGTACGGCTGTTAGATTTTGTAGCTTAGAAATCTAAATGTGCACAATTATATGTTCTTGTTTTAATTTTTGTTTTGTTCTTGTTTAAAAGGTTGTTTTGTTCTTGTTTCATTGGTTTTTACGTTCTTGTTTTAATGGTTGTTTCGTTCTTGTTTCATTGGTTGTTTCGTTCTTATTTCAATAGTTGATCGTTCTTATTTCAAATGTTGTTTCGAGTAGCGGCTGGCCGAACGGTTATTAAGGCAGGGTTCGAATTCTCAGTAAGGTTGTGGATTATTTATGTCGAGGTCAAAAATACAATCTTAACCTGCATACTCTGTGGCGACAGCACTTGCCATGCGGCACTAAATCTTTGGGTTCGGACCCTTTACGTACACTCTATATGGAGGCAGTAATAAGCATTTTCTGACAAGTTGATTTTGGTCACGCCATTGCAATGAATAAAGTTTAAATTAAAGTTAGATATTTGACAGTGGTTGTTTCACTTGCTAAGGAATCGAAATTTGTTTATTTTAGTCACGCCATTGCAATGAAAACAGTTTAAATTAAAGTTAGATAGTAGACAGTGATTGTTTCACTTGGTAAGGAATCGAAATAAGTTGATTTTAGTCACGCCATTGCAATGGAAAAGTTTAAATTAAAGTTAGATAGTTGACAGTGATTGTTTCACTTGGTAAGGAATCGAAATAAGTTGATTTTAGTCACGCCATTGCAATGAAAACAGTTTAAATTAAAGTTAGATAGTAGACAGTGATTGTTTCACTTGGTAAGGAATCGAAATAAGTTGATTTTAGTCACGCCATTGCAATGAAAAAGTTTAAATTAAAGTTAGATAGTTGACAGTGATTGTTTCACTTGGTAAGGAATCGAAATAAGTTGATTTTAGTCACGCCATTGCAATGAAAAAGTTTAAATTAAAGTTAGATAGTTGACAGTGGCTGTTTCACTTGATAAGGAATTCAAATTATTACCCCAAAAGACGCGCAGTTTGCTGACTAAACGCGACGGCTGATTCAGTTAGGCTCAATCTAAGAATCATTGCACAAAAAGTTATATAAGAACAATTCATGCCAAACCTGGGATCTCACTACTTCAGATAGAGAATAAGTCTGTAGCACTTGTTTAGTATTGTGATAACTATCCACAGGGATTTGAATCAAATCAAATCACAGGGGCAAGGTTCTGAATCGGTAATCGTGATTGTCTTGTACATTTGGCTGCCGAGTCTGCTGTGTCTAGTTAAAAGTTAGTTGCGTATCCTTTACAGGACGTTGCAGAACCAACCCTGACAGCCCCTGGCTGTTGTGTGGTTTCTCTTGGCAAATTTACGTCCAGTAGTTTGCCATTGCTCTCTGGACGGTCAGCTTTCTTGATACCACTGTCGAAACCAACGCAAGGCGCATTGTCCCCAACTGGGATCGAACCCGGCATCCCGGCATTACAAAGCGAAGCGTTCGCATCGACTTAGCCACAGAGTCTAGTACACAGTTTAAATATACTAAATCTAATATGTTTCTTTCGGGTATGGAGGTTGATTAGGATTTCATGATTATGTAATGAATGTGTTTAGAGTTCTAGTAGCTGCCATGATCTGAGTTTTATTTCCCTAATAATTGCATTGTGCATGCTTTCAAAATTTTTGCTAAGTCGTCTTCTCTTTCATTTCCCTTAATG